GCAGAGGCAAGGCGTCTGGTGTTCACCTACCCCTTTTACCTTAGAACATCACCATGACACCAAGATTATAATTCATCAAAATCACTTACATTTTTTTCCCGTTTCAAAAATAATAAATAAAAATACACAAGTGCAACACAATCCCAAGTAATACAAGGTATTTATGCTTAATTATCCCTATTGTAACAAAAATAATATTTTCTTCATAGAGTCTCTTAAAACCAACCATATCTGAACAAAATTTTATATTTTCTGGACAGCTATTTCAGATGGTTACGTCTTTAACAGATACACAGTGATTTATTTTCTACCAAGGTCTTTGTTTTTGTTTTTTAATAATAAAGAACCTCTCAGATCATAAGTTGCCATTTTTATTAGAACACAGTGAGGCAGAAGTTTGCTAATTTGTATTTTGATGTAATTGTCCAAGTCTGTGAATTTCAAAACATTTAAATGGATGAATAATGGGTTGGTTGGTTGGTTGGTTGTGTAACTGTCATGATTCGCCCCGGCCTCCCTGACTGTGTCACTCCTTCCGTAATTAGCCTTATTGTTCTCACCTGGCCCTCGTTAACCTGCCCATGTATTCCCTGATTGTTCTGTGTATTTATACCTCCCTCTTTGTTCCTGTCGTTGTCGGATCATTGTCGTTTTGTGCATGTTCGTTTGTCCTGTCGCTCCCGTTCTACAATTGGACTATTTTTGTTTTTTCGTCCGTTGCCTGCTCTTCTGCCTCCTGAAGCCCACCACTGCACATGGTCTGCCATCTCCACCCGCAGAACATGACAGTAACGTCCAGAAATGGTCAGTTTTCACCTACGTATTGACCTACATGCCACCGGTCATCTGCAGACACAAATCCCATTATTTAAGGTGGATTTTACATTCTATCTTCCAACAAGCCCAGAAGCTTCTGCAGCTCTAAACACATGATAACATATTGTCAACAAGGCCTAAGCTTCCCTTATCACTTCTACAGGATTCCTCATGCCTCTGAATAATGTGAACATTTTTACAACTCACAAGTTAAATAATCATTAAATAATAATATGGTTTAATGAACAAATGTTATATGAGTTTTAATGAAATATTTTGATTAATCTGTGCTTAAATTACTGTGGTTGAAATGAATTTTAATATTACAATGAAACATTTTGATGTTATGATCAGTAATGTTTGGTTTAACAAATGGATCATTATCAACACTCATACACAATGTTCATAAGATAAAGTTTAAGTAATTTCTGCACATAATATTTTCTTACCCAACAAATCAGAGCATCCTGTATCTGAGAAGGCGTGATGTTCTGAGGTTTGTTTGTTAACACCCCTTAACATGGCACATCCCGACTGGCCAAGTAAATCATAATATGAGAATATTAAAACAGGATCCCTTGCGGAGCATTCGAGCATTCTGTGAGATTCAGCATTCTGTTAGTTGAGCTAACTCTGACTGGCCATCGGAGGGAAACTCTGCTCCCATCGCATCTCTTGACAAGCTATCAAAACCCTGTTACAACCTACAGCTGACACAGCAAAACAGTTCCTTCAGCTATTCAGAAACAGCTGCTCTAGATGCAAACTAGTTCCAACCTCTGTGCCTGGCGACATCTCTGGACTGGGGCGTCGGTACTGCAGTTAATCTACCGAACCTCGGTGCCCAGAGGTCATCTGACCTCCCTGACCTCCGAATCCGTGGAGAGGGTCTCCAAAGGAAGGGTGAGGTAGACACACATGATTGCGTCTGATGCCGTTTTGATAAGAACCAACTTCATAGTTTGATGCAAACCAAATTCTTTTCACACCCAGAACTCAGTTCTTCTAGATACAAGGCTCTGATAAACACACACCATTCAATCACCATACATCACATCCCATCCACTTAGGTTCATCCATCACAGTAGTCTTAGTTAACTTGTCATGTTTTTAATTGTTTAATTGTTGTCTGAACTGATATGAAGTGTGTTTGATCCCTGAAAAAGCAAAGAATCCTAGAATCGTCTGATCAAACATTCAAAGACCAGAGTGATACTCTATATTTATATAAAATATCCCAGCTTATTGGTCATAAGTAAAGGTAATATATTAAGCTTAAAAGCAACAATATTTAACCCTACGTTTGGTTGGTTGGTGCAGATTAATGTTTATAACTGATGGCTTTCTGGTTTTCTTTTCCAATAACGTTACTGAACTGTTATTTGTTTTATATGTGTTTCCCTAAACCTCAATGCAATGTGTCATATATGGAAATAATAACAAGTATTATTTGTTGGTTAGTGAATTTTGAGAAAGGAAGTAGTGGCCTTCATACAAAATTACAATAGTTTTGACAGTTTAAATTTCACATGGTTTATGTGTGGTTTCCAGCGTAATCGCTCAGCAATAGTAATTCCAATAAATTTTATTTCAGTTACAATTTCTATTGCAACATTGTTCATTGTTAAATTGCTACTTGGATTTCTGGTCATATTATAATATATTTGAATCAAACTATTGTTTAAATGTGTGTAGGTCCTTCTCCGTCACTAGAGAAGCTGTTCCAAATGGTCTCTGCTACAAAACACAGTTGTATCATCAGCAAAAGAACACAATTTAGAGGCTTTGAAACCAAACAAATGTCATTAATGTATAAAGTAAACAATAATGGACTATGGACTGAACTAAGGATGAAAGAAAATATCAATATGGCAATATATCGTGATTTTTTTTCCTGTGATATTATATCAATATTCAAAAGCCGTGTATCAAATATTTGGAATAATTTACATGCAAACATTCATGTGTTTTCTTTTCTTTTTGTGACCACAAGTCAGCAGCAGTGTGCAATGGGATTCGTTTCCACCATTGAAATGTAAATCCCTCTGTTATGGTTAAGATATCTCATGTTAAACATGTTAAGTATCAGTCTGGACCGCTTATAGAATTTTCCTACAATTTTCCTACAATTATTCAGTCTAAAAAATCGCTAATATCGTCTGGCTGAATGTATTGCAATATATCACGATACATTGTATTGCCTCCCCGCATCGTGATACCGTATCGCCATACATTCATCAATACACATCCCTAGACTGAACCCTGTGGTACTCCACACGTAACCTTCAGATTACCTGAATTTGCTGTGTTAAATTGAACACACTAGTCCAATTCTGTAGAGCTAGTTATCCAATCATGTGCCAGTCCTCTAATACCATAACAACTTATTCAATAGTGATGTGTGATCTATGGTATCAAATGCTTTCTGTGAATCCAAAAAACACCCCAACCGTGTGTTGTTTGACCTCTATTGTATTTGTTATTTGTTTAACAAAATCAGTTGGAGCTCCCGATATGATTTTTCCTGAATGCAGAGAGCTGGTTGCAGAATATTTGGTGTTAAACTATGAAATCATTCAACTTTTTCTTATAAATATCCTCTCCAGAACTTTTAAGGAGTGTGGTAACAATGAGATTGGTCTATAATTTGAAAAGACGTATTTATCACTGGATTTGAATAATGGCATTGTTACAAGACAGAATTGAAATCTTTGTTCAACAGGCATCATTTCTGAAGGAGATCTCCCATTGATCAGGGACAGAATACAAATATAAGTAAATGGTTTAACTATACAATCAATGATCCTTATTTTCAAAAATGTGTCAAATTCATAATCATCAGTTAATTTCTTAATTTTTCATTTCTGAACTATAGTTTTTCTTCTTCATTTGTATTTTTGATCAAAGTAGAGTCAGTATTCATTGACATTATTATCGTAGGAAGACATGAGAATTAGATAGGTTTTACCCACGTTAACAAAGTTCTCATTGAGGTGATCTGATTTAAGTTTATTTTCATTAATCATTATTTGAGTTGAAATAAGCTGGATACTCTTTAACAACCTTTTGTTTCACTATTTCATTTACAATCCTCCAGGTGCATTTAACATTAGTTCTGTGTTTTCCTATAAATTACAATAACACTGCCTTCTGAGGATGAGATAAACCCTTATATAAATATTTAGATTTTACTCCATCCATTCACTCTACGGAGAATTGGTCTCCATTCCCAAAACTGCGAAATATAAATGAATAATAACAAAGCTCTGGGAGGACCAGGCTGCTCCCTCTCTGTAACCACTGAGATGAATGCTGAACTCTAACAAAGTGCACGCTGCAGACTCATAAATCTGCTTTTTACTGAATGATGTTCCAGCTTTAATGGGTAGTCATGTTGGCTCTCGGACCCAGGAGCTCATTTTACATTGATGGACTGAATTTTGCACTTTCATGTCATATTGGAAATAAAATGTTTACAGTGTTGTAGCTAGGAGAAGACCGGACAAAACACACGACGAAATGCCCATGTGGAGCTCATGAGTCATGCAAGGAATCACGCGCGCGCGCGCGCGCGCACGCACACACACACACAAACGCACAAACACACACACCTTGGTTTGCTCTACGTTAAAACGCACTACATCCCTGAGTTTCACCGTCAACATGACACATTACATTCTGCTGGTTTCCCCTCCATCCTGATGGAGGCCCGCGCGCTGCATAACACTCGCGCTCTGCAGCATCAGCACCAGCCGGATCCACCAATGGCTTCCACACAGAGGCCAGCGGTGGCTGCTCGGTGCTGCACGACTGACTTCTGCAAAGAAGAATGAATATTCCGCAAACGAACAGCTCAGAGTAACTAGAACGAACGCATTGGACTCCGCCATCGTCCGAACCGCTAACGGTCTGGAGTCAGAACCAACAAAAGCCACCACTGACACGTCAGCGCCGACATCACAGTCCCCCCCTTGTTAGCAGACGAACACAAACATATCACATCCATGCATTATACCCTATCGTTTCTGCCAGCTGATTTCAAATGTAAGCACGCGCTGTTTGGACTGGTGCGCGTGCAGGATCACCCCTTCAGGATTCCTGTTGGAGTCCATGGAAGAGGACTGGGAGCGCCCTGCAGTGACATAAACAACGAGCAGAATGGGCCACAGCTTCTTTGACAGGACCCGCTGAAGGCGCACACAGCGGTCATGCACGCGCTAGGGGAACACCGTTAACGCCCAGTCGGTTTTGTCTGCAGGTGAACTCACCTCAGCGCATCCAGGGACGACGGTCGCTGAGCGGCACACCTACAGCCTAAAGCCTTCTCCGGTTGATAACGACGTGTGTGCTGGGGGCTGACTCCACCGCCGCTCCTTTTGTCAGGCTGCTCCGGGGACTCAGCTGGTACCAGGTCAGTGGGCCCTGGTGTGTGTTTTTTCCATCGCTCAGCGCGCCTGGTTCAGCCCACTGCCACGCCTTTCCAGTCTGGTACCCAAACACCCAGTCAGTTGACTGCAGAGGGAAGCTTGGCACAGCTCTGGATCATTGTGATGCTGAGGCCCATGCACGCTGGTTTGCTTCCGCTGTATCCTCAAACAAAACAGGTCTAATGTAACAAGAACATCTCATCCAAGGCGCCACCTTCTGTTATAGGATACCCTGCGCTGCAGACACACAGGAACATATCAGATAGGCCTGCTATGCAAACAGAACATTTCTGTATCATTTTTCAGGGTGCAAATGCAGCTCACTGTCCAGACTCCAGCCAGCATCAACTTATATTAAAGGCAAAAGCTAAATCGGGACTAATTTTGTAATCATATTTCAAAGAACGGCTCGACGAAACGTGCTTTATTTTGAAACTTCGGGATTAATTCATTTATTATTTTATTAGATCAAAACAAAATTATTTCCTTTAAAAATGAAAGAACACAGCAAATGCAATCATGAAAACAAATAAAGCACACCACTCACATTTAACATATTTAGCAGAGACAAGCAAACTCTGCATGGCTCAGACACATCTGTTGCGAAAAAGTAGGCACTTTTTTTTACTGCAGTTTTTCTCCAGCTGTTGTGCTTTTCTGTTGTAAATACGCATTAATCATGAATTCATCTCCGTCCATCTTGTAGCTGCATTATTAAAAAAATATCTAAAAATAAATAACAACATAAAGCCCAAAGGGGTCTGCACAAACAGAAGTGCTTAATCTTTTGTCATTTTGCCTCTCTTTTTTGTTTGTTTTTGAAGTCATGCTAAAATCTCATTAATAATTATAAGACTCATACTATTTATAATTGCTGACGTAAGTAGATATAATTAGTTTGAATGATTTTAACTATCATTTTAAAATTGTGTACTCCTCATTTGTGGAATAAGCTTCTTTTGTTTTGATAAACATTTATCACACCTAGTTCAGATAGTACCAATTTTTGTTGTTGTTATTATTATTATTATTATTGTAGTTTTGCCTATTAAATAATTCATTTTCGGTTTAATTAATTGTATCTGGTCTTTGTTCTCATTACCCTCTGAAAAATAGCTACCGTTTACACAGCCCAATGCTGAATGCTGTTTTGTGACTGTCCACCAGAGGGCGCTACGGCGACGCCGTTGACGCTGAGCAGTTGAGAATGTAAACAGAATAAGAAGCTGTTCTGTGTGATTTGCCAAAGTCACACAAAAATTAAAGGTAAGAGCAGAGAACCAACGTAAATGAGTTAGCCGTTTTGTTTTTTACACACGTGTCTGTTCTTGCCAGTCTTGTAGTCTCGTTGCATCGTTTCCAAAGAGAACCAGACGTGCTGGAACTGTGTTGCTAATTAGCACTTTAGCTAAAGCTCTAAAAATGTGGCTTTAATGTTGTGGTTTGACGCTCAGCTGATACGTGTGTGTTCTTATATAAACAGGTGTGTAACTCAAAAGTGGCTCCTGTCTTTGAGACTTGAGTAATATGATTATTTATCATGCTAACGGCTTACGCTTCTATCACACGAGTCCGTATTTAGTTTAAATATTTACACGTTTTAAATCAACTTTCTTTTAAACCTCGCTCACGTACTTGGTCCCACGTTTGATGATTGTATTAAAGGTTTTACATTATTGCCGGTATTTCGGCTTCAACAAGAGTCCACAAAGTGGTCATTTTGATTTAAATTATCTTGAGTTTGACCAATTTATTACCCAAACGACTGAAAACCACAGGGGCTCGGTCAAACCCAAACACTCACCACTCATGTATAAATGTAAGAAGAAACACCAAGGAGTTTAAAAACACCTGCTGATCTGGAAACGAGACCAGTCTTGTGCCATAAGGTCACCAGATTGTGTCTGCAAATCCTTAATCTGAGGAGATCCTCTGACTACTGCTAAACCACCGACCTCCATATCTGTTTTCTCCTTTTACCTCATTATTCCTAATCATAATAGGGGATTTCATCCATTCACCGGTTTGTATTCATCTCCAGAGAGGACACGATGCTGAACTTTGGCCTAATCCTCTACATGTATTCCTAAACCCAGGCTGAGAGTAGTTTAACCGGCTCGTTTGTGTTGCTGCAGCACAACTCAGGACATTTAGTGTCATCATGTAGCTGAAAGGTCGGTGTGATACTCCTGCTCGCTTTTACAGGCTGCCTTCCACCGACTGCTTGCCAGGATGGCTCAGTGGGGTGCCGTTGTCTCTATCATAGCTGCTCTCGGAGGAGCAGCTCTGTTGGTCTCGGTGCACAAGATAGATGAAGGACACACAGGAGTGTACTACAGGTGAGCCTGCAGGATGCATTTACTTTTGTGTGTCATAAAAACGAAACCACAAAGATGTGATTGCATGCTACCTGTGTAATTACTGTGAAAACTGTAGCGGTTAAGCATTATTCAAGCATGTTTTATTATCCTTATCATTGGTGAAATAATCTTATAGTGTTTTCTTGATTCAATGACGCTTTTTATACAAAATAACTAATGGATTTCTTGTTAAATGAATCAGAAAAAGTATTTTGTCCCATTTCCACTGAAGGTGTAGGTGTGTTATCGGGGCACATCAAGCACTACGTTGGAACTGTCATCAGACTTTTTTCTGCCTTTTTATAAATAATCACAGCCCTTTTCCTCAGACTCGTTTGTTTTGACTCGTTCTCTTTCATAAATATAAGTGTGTGTGCATGTGTGTGATCCAGAGGTGGAGCTCTCTTGACTACAACCAGTGGCCCAGGTTTCCATCTCATGCTTCCATTCATCACCACCTACAAGTCTGTTCAGGTACGGATAGTTGGGCTCTCAGCTTTTGCACATCATTAGTGCCTCTTAACACATAAGTGTGTTAGCAGCCAGAGAGTACACACACTTTGCGTTTTGTGACAACTCCCCCTACACATACACACACACACACATACACTCCAGTTCTCTCTAGAGTGTCTAGAATCGAGTTCTCCTATCAAATGGCGTGATTTCACTCCCTGCTGATGGATTTACTCCCATAGCACCTCCTTTCTGGCTCGTTTAGTTTCATAACGATATCATTAATGAAACCCTGAGAAAAGAACATTCTGAACTTGTCATCAGATTTAGTTTTTGTGTTGCCTTTCAGACCACTCTGCAGACAGACGAGGTGAAGAATGTGCCCTGTGGTACGAGGTGGGTGTGCAGTTATAATTAGCCTGATAGGATGATCTAACTTGTATAAAATAGTCCAGATACACTCTCACACAGTGAGTGTACTGGTTTATTGTCACCTTTTAAAACATTGACTATGTTTGAGACGAGATGTAATGTTGTCTCCTTCAGTGGAGGAGTGATCATTTACTTTGATCGTATAGAAGTGGTGAACTACCTCATTCCCTCAGCAGGTAAAGAATAAACCTCTGATCTCACCGCTGCAACAGCAAATCTGCTAAACAAGCTAGCTTAAAACAACTATAAATATATTGTGAAAATAAAAATAAAACTACAATGAAAAAGAAAGTGAAAGAAGTGGTTCTCTCACGTTTGTCTAAAAACCTCCACCAATAACACGGCTTGGTCCAAAACCAACCATTAGTCTGTCCGGTTGTCGGTCTCGCCAAACCGCCACACTTGCACATTTACTCAATACTCGTTATGCACTTGTGTCTATAGCAGCAGAGCGCCATTGGTGTGAGAGGCTCTCCACTCAGTATTATCAGAGAAGGAGAAACAGCCGGCTGCTACCGCTTCAACTTTAGGACAAACTACCAGAGTCCCAAAAAGGTGAAGCCACGGACAACAAGAGACATTCAGCTCAGAAAACAGTGACTGGTGTTCAGCACTTTTCCTTTCCTCTGGCGTCGTGGGCTGCGGTACCCGCTGGACGTGGCCTTCAGGGCTGATAGCTGTGTTAGGGTTTAAAAGCTAGCTTGTTTTGCAGATTTGCTATTGCAGCTTTAACCATGGACAGAATAATCTGTGTGTCTAACATCAGCTCTCCTCTCCTTCCTCAGTCTACGACATAGTCAGGAACTTCACAGCTGACTATGACAAAGCCTTGATATTCAACAAAGTTCACCATGAACTTAACCAGTTTTGCAGCGTCCACTCGCTCCAGGAGGTGTACATCGGCCTGTTCGGTGGGTGGAAGTGCGGCAGGATCGTTTAAAGTTCCTATTCTCGTTCATCTCGCTACATTCCGACTCTCCTGTTCAGGAATCGGACGAGCTGTGTTAGGGTTCAAATCAAAAGAAGAAATAAATGCCCTGTATTCAGATAGTGCCTTCTAGAGTTCTACAACCGCCCCAAAGCACTTTACAAGACACCGGCCATTCACACACACATTCACACGGTGGTGATGAGCTACATCATAGCCACAGCTGCTCTGGGGTGCACGGACAGAAGAGGGCTGCTGTACAGACACCACCGGCCCCTCCGACCACCATCAGCAGGCATGGAGGGGGAAGTGTCTTGCCCAAGGACACAACAGCTGAGACAGACTGAACAGGATGCAACCTTGCAACCCTCTGGTTATAGGCAGAATAGGACTCAAAACCAGGTTATTCCTCGTCACTCTGCCGTTGTGTCCTTGGGCTAGACACTCCGCCCTCGTTGCTGCCTCACCTCTGCATGACTTGCTTTGGATGAAAGCGTCTGCTAAGTGCATCAACATATAAATCCTGATGCTTTACTGATGACAGTGGCAGAAGAGGTAAATGCCTGCCCTGTAACCTCAGGGTTGCAGGTTTGAGTCCCACCCAGTCTGTCTCTTCGGTTGTGTCCTTGGGCAAGACACTCCACCCTCCTTGCCAGCTGTTGGCGGGACCGGTGGTACCAGTATTCAGCAGCCTCGCCTCTGTCAGTATGCCCAGGGCAGCCGTGGCTACGATGCAGCTCACCACCACCAATGGGTGAATGACTGGTGTGTTGTAAAGCACCTTGGGGGGTCCTACTCTACTTAAACACAGGACTTATTTTGTCTCCACTTCTCACAAGCAGCCATTAAAATCGGGTACTTTAAACAAATGTGACCTTTTTTAACCAGACTTAGTATAAGTATAGTAAAACTACTTCAGCTTAAAAACACGGGATTATAATTTAAGGGGATCTAAAGACACTGGGATTGATGTTCTCCTGTAAAATATTCATGATTATGGTCTCTGTTGTTGGTCCTTGCATCTGCACACATCTGCAGCAGACTAACTCTTCTGTTTGCATTTGTGCAAAAGTTGCCATGGTCCAGCCTAGCAATGCACGGTATAAGAAATAACCAGTATGATTACTGGTATTACTGGTATTACAGTATCATTTTGGCCTGTGGTATAGAGTAACATACTACCGGCTAACAGTCAGAGCTTCTACACGCCAAAGTGGCTGAGAGTGCACTTCTCCAGCTTTTGCATGAATGTTGCCAATCAGGGTCCGCTCTGGACGAAACCACCACTCGGCTCTTATCGTTGCTGTTGGTTCCTAAAAGTGACTCATTCAGTCCTGCTCTCACCACCCAGGAGGAGGTGACGGTTGGAAAGACGTCTGACATCTAAACTGGTCGTAGTTTGACACACATATTATAACACAGCTGTATTTAGTCAGCACCGGTGAGGAGAAACTACGGTTTTCCATGACTCTGGTCTGAATCGGGCCTGATCATGAGCTGTGAGTCAGCACTCTGCCGTCATCAACCCTTTCTCAGCTGGGCTGTAACTAGTCAGCTGTGTGTGTGTGTGTGTGTGTGTGTGTTATTTTAGTGTTTTAGAATTTTTTGTGGTCATGTCGGTCTAAAGAGCTGCTAAACTCCTCTGGAACCAAACCAGAACATTTCTGACCCCCTGAGTGGAGTATTTCACTCCAGTGGCGTCTTAGAAACGTTCCTCCCCAATATAAGGTGTTTGAAATGAATAAATAATGTTATTAAGTCTGTGTGTTACCCATACAAGTAGATAACTGAAGCTGCTTTTATCTTCTTTACTCCAACAGACCAGATAGATGAAAACCTGAAGCTGACTCTACAAGAGGACCTCACCTCCATGGCACCTGGGCTCATTATCCAGGTGTGTGTGTGTGTGTGTTTTCTCTAATTGGATCAGATCAAACCACATTGTTTTATTTTAGGTTTAGTCTCCATCTTTATGACCTGTCTGTATCCAGTGGGAGGGACATGTCCTTCCTGATGGACACCGGTACAGATTTATTTATTTTATTTACCCAGACGAGTCGATTGAGAGCTCATTCTCATTTACAACGACAATCTGGCCAAGAGGCAGCAGAAACAGACCCATAGTTAGTTTTACACCAAATAACAACTGTTAGACACGATGAAAACAAAGAAGATCAAAATAAGATGAAACCAACATGAAGACACTATTCTCTCTTAGCAGGGGTCGGCAACCCCTTTCAGATATCTGATGCGGCTCTCTTTGCTGTAAAATAATACATTTACTGCATTCCAGTTCTAAATGTAAAGACTGTCATCTTTTAAAATCTAAACAAAAATGATAAAGACCTGAAATGACGGGTCACCTGCTTGTGTGTAATCAAATATCTCTGTGAGCTTTCTGAGCTGGAGAGGATGAGATTCTGGACTTTTCCTCAGACAGGCTCATGGATGCTCTATTCACTCAAAGTTTCATAATCGGGGACATTTTCTAAGTGACAAGTCTCTCTGAGAGATGGGGTTTGGAAAACACCCGCTTCAGTGGGAGGAATCTTCCGCTGTGGTTCTGCTGCTGCCGGTGACTGAACTGCACCAAGCCCTTCTCCGCATCTTTAGCTCGTCCACCTTATATGGAAACATCTAAACACCTTTCTTCATGAAAACGGCTCGCTCACGAGACAAAAAAATGGATTTTTAACAGTTTCATTGGAAATTGCAGATAATTTAAATAAATATTTTTTTGGGAACAATTGATACATTAAAAAACATCTTTTGTGACAATAAACAAAACAATGGAAACATAAAAATGTGAGTTTAAGCTAAGATGTGCAAATATTTAGAAAGTTAAACAGCTTTTGTTAACTTAAGAGTAACCAACGGGAGTGGATGAAATGGATGGATGCTTGCTGAAGCCGGTAGCTTTAGTACTTGCACCTGTAGTTACTCATCTGTTTAATCAATGTGTTGACAAAAACTTGGAAAATTGCAAATGTCATACTTTTGCCAAAAAGCAAAACAGAGCAGTTCACGGAGTTCGACCAATTAGTTTACTCCCAGTTTTAGGTAAACGAATGCAAAGAATTATACATGAACAGATCAACACTTTGAAACCCTCCCAGCGGGTCAGAGAAGCTGAAACCTGGATAGGAGCCGGCCCACAGCAGCGCGCAGCGGTCTCCAGCAGGTGATGGTGGGGCAGGGGAGCTCATTCCTGGTCCGGAGCCGGCCCACAGCAGCTCGGTTTACATAGTTTGGTATATAAGTCGCAGGGCCAGCCAGACTATGAAAAAAAGTGCAATTTATAGTCCGAAAAATACAGTACAAATGATTTGCCTCTAATGTTAGAAAAAGCAAGAATTTCTATGTTTGCTGATGATACTACGATTTATTTAGCTGGTAAAACAATAATCAAATAAAAACTCATCTTAAAAAAGAACTTGACATAATTATGAATTGGGTAAAAAATAATATTCAGATATTGGATGTCAAGTAAATAACGTAATCTCTAAAATGGGATGCAGTTCGGAGGTTATAAAAAGATGTTTTAAATACTTGCCTAAGCAAGTGAGCCCACACGTTACTTAAAGTCTAGTGCTATCTCATTTAAATTATTGTGCAATTGTTTGGTCAAATACTTCATTTAAAAATGTTAAATAACAACTGATGCAGAACAAAGCTGCACGTGGGGCTCTAAAATGTGGTTTCACGACAAATGTCAGTGAAACGCATCAGCATCTTACTTGGCTTAGAGTAAAGGACCAATGGTTACGTGCTAAATCTATTTTTTAATTAAATGCTAACTCGTATACCAGCTATGTGTTGGTGTATGTGTGTCAGTTCAGAATCTCCATCTGGTGGTGGCGAGTCTGAGTGCGAGATGTTGTTTTGCTACTAACTGAACGAAGATGGATTTCAGGAGGAAGACATGAGACGCTATCTATGCCGAGCCACATACCGTGGTAGAGACTTCCGTGTTAGATCCGGATGCCAGGTACTCGGACCCTCCTTGTGCTGGAACTGGTGAAACAGCGGGCGGCAGCACGACAAACCAGTCTGAGGATCGTCTCTCGGTACAACGGCAGGGTTCAGCGTCACGTAGAGACAGTTCAGCTTTTATTCTGAAGGAACCGTCGTCTTGTTGATAAAACGACAGAATTTTCCAGCTTGACAGTTCTCAGCTTAAAAGTAGAAAATACAGCTGGCCAGTCTGTACTTCACTTAGCGATGATGGACATCAGATGGGTTTGAGAGCTGGTGGAGTACTTGGTTAGAACTCCGTTGGAACTGCGTTGAAAACTCGTTGGAACCTTTTACTAAAAATATTCAGTTATTCAGCAAGGCATTCCACATGGAAATGTAAGCTGTCAAAAATGAAAACCAGTCAGAGCCAGCGTACAGTGATGTTTAGTGCCGTGCATGAACAGAATCAAATGAGTGCAGGTCATTAAAAAACCGCTCCAAATGTTTTGTTTTTCAAAGAATGCATTAATTTAAGTATCTTTTTTTTTGTTTGTTTGTTTGGTTTTTTTTTTTTGTTATCAAAACAAATTGAGTCTCTGAAATCAATTGCATCTGCCTAGGGCATAATTTGATCATTGGAATTTTCCAGTGGGATTTTAATCTGTTGGGTCGTAACATGTATATTACATATATGAGGTTTGTTGTAATGCTGTTTCTATTTGGTGTACTTAATGTTTGATTTAATGTTTTAAATGTTAAAGGCTTAGTTTCTGATGTAAAATTGTGTTTATATGCTTTATGTTTGCAACAACCCAGGAAGAGTAGCTACCGGAGCGTGCTGCGGAAGCTAACGGGGATCATCACAAATAAATAAACCAGTGTGACAACGACTGGGACTTTAACTTTCCACACTGTCTCGGCCTCTAAGCCTTCTGCTTGTTTCTTGTGTTCAGCAAGAATGAAGATTTAGACTTTTAAACATTTTATTTCCATTCTGGTTGAAGGACATGATTTCTCTACATGTCTCTTGGCTTTTTGTCATGGCGACTCTCCTGTGGTTATGTCTTCCTGCAGGCGGTGCGCGTCACCAAACCCAACATCCCAGAGAGTATTCGTAGGAACTACGAACTCATGTAAGGCTTTATTTTACTGTTATGCACATGAAACACTCTGTGTGTGTGTGTGTGTGTGTGTGTGTGTGTGTGTGTGTGTGTGTGTGTGTGTGTGTGTGTGTGTGTGTGTGTGTGTGTGTGTGTGTGTGTGTGTGTGTGTGTGTGTGTGAGAGAGAGAAATGACCACAGTGTTCCAGTAAGTTGGGGCGAGTCGGGCTGTGGAGCAACAACTCGCCTTACAGCTGCAGAAAAGCCTCGTCATTTTTACGGCCCCCAGCTCGTCTAAGAGATGATGTGGTTGTGAACAGGAACAAACCAAGATTCACTCTCTTAAAGGAGTTCATTTAACTAAAAGTCACTGCTTTATGCAGGTCAAAGGATAAAATGATACAAAAGAGACATCCAAAACTGGGGATTTAACAACTATAATGCTATTAAACACAAAGCGCCGGGGATTAAAACCGGGTAAAGAATGAGCAGGATTAACACAAAAAGCTCCACCAGAAGGGTGAGCTAGATCTCTTTAACGAGGATGCTGAAAAAAACACAAAACGAGCTCTAGAAACTAGGAAGTGATTATCGATACCACTCAGGTAAGCAAAGCGAGACTTTAACGTCAGTAGGAGGAGGGAAAGAGGAGAGCAAACACTTCTGCTTGTTCTCTTCTGAACTTCCCTCCTCTGTATCATCTGACGCTCCCTTTTAACAGGGAGCCTCACTGACTGAAATCAATTCCACCTGGCTCAGCTAGAGCCAGGAGAGCAGGTAGGGACGCTGAGGGCACCTAGTGGCCACAAAACAGACGGCGTCTGTTACAGTTATCTTTGGTTTGTTCTCGTGAAAACACTCTGAAGTTCAGACTAGGGATCAACGTGATGGTCAGAGGTCTCCCTCACCATTTATTTCCTGGTCCTTCTAAAGGTAACACGATAATCTGGGTGATTTCCCATTGCTGCGGTTGTTGCCAGATAAAACTCATCAGAGGAAAGTCGTTGTTTGGTCAGTGGGATTTAGAATCTCATAAACAGGGATGTGGTCGGCCGTACACCATCCCAGTGGCTGATTATTAAAGACAACATTAATTAGCTTAAACCTGTGTGTTGGTTTTCCAGCGGAAACGGTTGTTTTCCTGTTTTGGTCGAATACTAGAGAACAGCTACTGATGAGCTGGTGTTTCATAGACTAAGCCTGTTTATAAAGTTATGAAAGGTTTATCTACACGTGCAGATTTGCTGGGTTTGGTTTGACCTCACCCTGACGGTATCGTTGCTGAATCTACTCCCTGTAAAAAGTTATTTCAACAAAGATCAGATTCCACACACACATCTGAGGATTTACGCCCTGGCAGCTTTCAGGTCTGGATTAATTACTTACTTTCATACCAGCTGTGTGAATTTATAGGATCAGAGAGAGAGGAAGTCTTCTCAGTAGTTTCCCTTAGAATCAGAGTCCAATGGTAAAATCCCAGATTTTATATTAATATCTCCATGACGGTACAGGTCTCAGAGGCTGGAGCGCTAAGGCTTTGTAAATAATAATGGATCCAAACCTCCATGAATCATAACCTCTGCTATGTGTGTTGGCAGGGAGAGTGAGAAAACAAAGCTGCTGATCTCCCAGCAGACTCAGAAGGTTGTGGAGAAGGAAGCCGAGACGGAGAGGATCAAAGCTGTGATAGGTGAAGCACATAGACCATCAGGACCAGCTGACTGTGTCCTACACTCCTCAGGCTGAAGAGCGCGTGTGTGTGTGTGCGTGTGTGTGTGTTGTTTGTCTTGTAGAGGCTGAAAAAGTGGCTCAGGTAGCAGAAATCAAGTTTGGGCAGAAAGTCATGGAGAAGGAAACCGAAAAGAAGATCTCAGAGATTGAAGGTTTGTGTCGTTGATGGAGGAGACGTGACCGAGTTTTACTCCCCCACCCTACCCCGTCCTGCTGTAAAGCAATCTGAATTTATGTCTGAGCGCCAACAGAAGCCTTAGGGCTGGTTCATATCTCTCCATCAGAGTGTGGCGTTGTGCACACACCTTGACGGAGATGTTTTTCCTTAAGACCTCCCATCTCCTGGATAGTGTTGCAAAGCAATTCCCCACCAGGACAGCAGGGGGCGTAATACCTTTCTGGGGTATCTGGTCCAACATAGTGTGTTTACTGTGTTTGTATTTCAGACACTTTATAACACAGATGAATTTGTCCTACATTCTCTTCCACCTCTTCATGCAGTCGTCACCTCTGAGCCCACGTTTCTCGTCATTTCCGTCCACGAATAAAACGCTGGCTGAGTATCTTTGTACTCCTTCAGTCACGGTTGAATTAACATTCTTATTTTCATTTTTTTTTCTGCAAGGTGTCGTTCAATTTTCTTCTTTTGCCGCTATATATCTTAGGTTCTCGTTTTACTTTTTTGAGGGGGCAATGGTGCTGCTGGTGATAGTTTAAGGAAGCGGCGTCCTGACCAATCACCATCTCTGCCACTTTTGAAGGGTAGTTAAAAAGTTGGCGTGTCTCTCTCAACCACTGGGAGCCCATCGGAGAGCCCTTGCACCAACGCATAAAGGCCTTGTGTGTCTCCACACCCATGCAGACAGAGAGGTATAAATAAGGCTTTACTCTCACAGGCGGAGCGTTGGAGATTCAAAGTCGTGCGATACCCGATCCATGATTCTGCAACCATCTAGGAATTCACGGCTGATTTCTATCAGCTGAGGAGGCTACTACTGATGCAGCCGTATCTCTCACTTGTTGAACCGAATATCCGGTGGCATCGGTTTATCATTCACAACCCTAGTCTCCATCAGTCCGTGATTTCATATCGTCCTTTAGCTTCCTCAGATGATTGTAGGCTGTGCGGATTTCGACTCTGGTTTTATCTCTGCTTCACGCTCAAAGACATAATTCTCTGGCTCTTACTTCCTGGCGCCGCCATGATGCCAACAACAAAGAAAACTTTTTTTTCAGTTGCTCAGGAGGTTGAGCGGGTTGTCCAGTAATCAGAAGGTTGCAGGTCCGACCCCGGCTCTGATCAGAGAATATTGCTGTTGTGTCCTTGGGCAAGACATGTAACCCGCCTTGCCTGCTGGTGGTGGTCGGAGGGACTGGTGACCCCAGTGTTCGGCAGGCCTCGCCTCTGTCAGTGTGCCCCAGGGCAGCTGTGGCTGCATCGTAGCTCATCATCACCAGCGTGTGAATGGGTGAATGCAGGGCTGCCAACTGTCACACATTGAGCGTGAGAGTACGAGTGTCTGCCCTGAGTCTGGGGTTCAAATCCTGGTCAGGTCGTACCAAAGACTCTCCGCTTGACACTCGGCATTAATAGGTTGGATTGGGGGGTTAAACCAATAAATGGTTCCGAGCGCGGCCACAGCTGCAACTCACCATTTCCTCCCGGGGAGGGGTCAAATACAGAAAGCAAATTTTGCACAACCATCAGGGTGTGTGACAACTAATGGGACTTCAACAATATCTCATGCAAAAGAATCAACAACCCCCCCCCCCCCCCCCCCCCCCCCGGCTCTCATGGTACAGGGTGAAACATGGATAGTTCAATGCATCCTATTGTTTTTTATTGACAGTCGACAAACTGAAGAGGCTAACTGCTAGCCTTTGGTTAGCTACTGGCACGGAAACTAGCTAACAGCCCTTACGCAGGTAAAGAGCACACCCTAGGGCACCTACCTGCTCCACAAAACTGTCAAGTCCTGTTTTATTGTCAGCAGAGGGCTGTCAAATAAACACTGATCAAGTTTTCAACTCACTGATATCAACTTTAAAGCTCTAGCTTAAAGTAAAAAAAAAACATTTAGCGTTACTTTAATGATCTCCGATAAGGTCTCTTAACGAGTCTCTGCTGACACTTCTTCTACATCCAGGTTTGTGTTGTTCTCAGACGTGGATACTTTGTTTCCTGCTTCATGAGACTAACAGCTGATTTGGACCCTGTGAAGGAGCCTCACCGACGAGGTCCCCGGTGCCGTTATCAGCTCCACCCGTTTGTTCCACCCGGCTGTCCTCCACTTGTGGTTACCAAGGAGGCAGCAAACATACACACCTGACAGACTTGTGATGTGAAGGGGAGCTTCTGGCTGTGAAATGAAGCCACTGATGTTTGTTTGTGATCTACAGACGACGCGTTCCTGGCCCGACAGAAAGCTAAGGCAGATGCAGAGTTCTACACGTCTCAGAGAGCCGCCGAGGCCAACAAGGTAGAGGGCAACGCCTGCAGCTCCCTCTGGTGTCACAACCCTGTTTTATCATCTCTTCTTTCTCTTCCAGCTGAAATTAACTCCAGAGTACCTGCAGCTGATGAAGTACAAGGCCATTGCTGCTAACAGCAAGATCTATTTTGGGAATGACATTCCTCAAATGTTTGTGGACTCTGGCTCTGCAGGGAGCTCCATTAAGACTTCTGCAGCCCTAGATATTGTTGGTGAGCAGCTCCTAGACCTGGATTAATGAGGAAGAGCACCACCCGGGGGTTGAGGACTCTAGGGGGCTGACAGCTGTGGCTGGTTCCTGACTCTGCTGTCTGTGGCCGTTGTTTCCCAAACGATTATCTCTAGAAATCACTCTGGGAGTTTGACCAGGATGTAAACATCTGCAGCCTTGAAACAGAGAGCTAGAGTTCAGGTTGTGATGATTTTACTGTCCTGCCATAATGACCATCTAAATGCTGATTTATTGGGTTAAATGATGGTTTTAGCTCCTTTGGGTGTTAAATTAGATCCCATTAAAACAACATTTGATCCAAAACAACTTAAAAACACACGTTGGTCTAGACCAGTGGTCCATTAGGTTCGCACTGGTGTTTGTTTTTAAATAAATGTAAAAAATCTATAGAGGGAAGTTGAGGGAAATGTTTAAAATGTAACGCTAGGGCTTGGTTATAATTATTACTATTTTTATTTGTTTTATCATGGGGTTGATGTATAAATTTAGGTGAAATAAATGACAGATTTTGTTTTAAAGTGGAACAGAAACAATTAATCCTTTATCATCTTATCAAATCCCTTTTTTGTCAAATGGATTCTTCCTAAACTTCCTCCTGTTAGATGTGTTTATACCCCCCACCCCCATCGTGTGTGTGTGTGTGTGTGTGTGTGTCACATTGGTCACATTGACTCCTGCTGTACATGCTGGTGCTTCTGCTTTCTTTGGATCTGAAACAAATGCTTTTCTAACCAAATGAGTGATTTTCTGCTTGTTTCCTGTAAGTTCTGGGATGTTCTCTGAGAACCCTCACAGGATGTGAACATTTAAACCCTGAAGAGCCTTTAGCAGTTGGACAGAAACCTAAGGAGATATATTCATTTTAAGAGATAAATCAGAAATGTCCCGGTGACCGATGAGGACCAAGGACAGAAGTATTGATGTCTGCTCGTGTTTGTTTTTGTGGCATTTGATCAAAACCAGGCGACCAAATGAAGCAGCATCATGTTAACAAACTAAACGTAATATTCATTCCTGTTCCTCAGATCAACCGTTGAAACCGTTTACTCATATTTTTGCACTGATTTGAATAACGAATGAACAGCCAGGGTTTTAGGTCTGAGAACTCTGTAGCAGTGACAAGTGATTATCTGTAAAAGTGTTTAAAACACAATAGAACCGACAGACCTTTACAGGTGTGTGTGTGTGTGTTATTGAAGAACCTGGGGCCGCTGGTATTTCTGGGAGAGTTTTGTGGTTGCAGTTTTTGCTAAGTCACCTGGGAACATTACAGAGACTTTGAATCAAAGACATTTGCTTTTAACAGATTTTTCCATTACTTCAGCCAACAGATTTTCTCAGAGCTTCTGTCATTCCTTAAGACATGGTTCTATTTCACTCCTCCCGACTGCCGTGCATGGCACTCGATATTCATGTGAGCGCAGCAAACATTACATAACAAACCTAGAAACTAAGGGCCAAGATAAACAACTAATGACAAGAGGAGTAAGGAAGACTAATTAACAAGTGGGGAAGGACACAAACACTAAAGGGTACCAATTAAATGAAAAGCTAAACCTATAGAAAATAAACCTACAGAGGGGTGACTGGAGAGACCTGAGAAGCTGGAAAACACCAGGAGGAACATGAGAACACAGAGGACAAACAGGAGGGGGCTGGGGACCAAGGCGACACAGAACATGACAGTACCCCCCCCCCCCCCCCGTGACTGGGACACTTGAGACAGGGACAGGGACTGGAACACTCGTGGGGACTGGAACACTTGTGGAGAGACTTGAGTCTGGGACTTGGGAGGCTGGAAGACTTGAGACTGGACAACTTGGGATGTAGACCTTGAGACAGGAGATGGGGAGACGTCGACTTCAGAGCTGGAGGCGTCGACCCTTGGACAGGCTGGACCGGAGCCCCTTGGACGGACTAGACCGGGGGCTCGTGGACGAGCTGGAATGGATGCGGAGTGTCCTCCGGGACCTCCGCCAAAGCAGGATGCGATGCGTCCTCCGGGACCACCGCCGGAGCAGGATGCGATGCGTCCTCCGGGACCACCGCCGGAGCAGGATGCGATGCGTCCTCCGGGACCACCGCTGGAGCAGGATGCGATGCGTCCTCCGGGACCACCGCTGAAGCAGGATGAAGCTCAGACGTGGGTCGCAGAGCAGGGGCCTCTTGGGTAGGCGGCACAGCTCTGGCGTCTGATGGATTCATGAGTCTTGGCTTGGGCTGTAGAGCAGGGGCCTCTTAGTTAGGCGGCACAACTCCAACTTCAGATGGCTTTATGAGCTCAGGTTTGGGTTGCAGAGCAGGGGCCTCTGAGATAGGCGGCACAACTCTGGCTGTAGATGAGTTCAGGAGTTCTGGCTCGGGCTGCAGAGCAGGGGCCTCTTGGTCAGGTGGCACAGCTCTGGCTTCAGACAACTGGATGAGTTCAGATTTGGGTTGCAGAGCGGGGTCTCTAGAATAGGCGGCACAACTCTGACAGCAGAAGGCTTTAGGAGATCTGGCTCGGGCAGCAGAGCAGGGGCCTCTTGGGTAGGCGGCACAACTCTGGCTTCCGATGATCTCTTGAGCTCAGACCTGGATTGCAGAGCGGGGGCCTCTGGGTTGGGCGGCACAACTCTGGTCTCAGGAGACTGCTGGTAGTGATGTTACCTGTGACACGCAGGATTCGAAGCTTGTATCACCAAAACGAACCACCGCAGAGCAAAGCACTGTGTCGGAGCTTGATTTGTTTACTGAAAGTCACGTGACCAATGAGCAACGACACTTCGATTCACCCTTCCACCCACGTGACCGCTTCACACGTTGTTTCAAACATTTAAAGCAACGCAAACCGAGAGGCGCAGGTTTGTATGACCTGAGATTGACGGTTCAGGATTCGGTATTCAGTGGTTAAACACCGAGTCGCAAAAATGGATCCTGTAGCAAAAAGAAGGCGTTCTGAGATGTGGGAATGTTTCAATTTAATCTCTCCAAACAAGGTTTGAAAATGTATTTGGTCTAGTCTAGTAAACTACCTTTATAGTAGTAATACTTGGTGCTTATTGTAGAGCTATATCTTTTAGACCGTCTGTCATTTTCCTTTAATTAAATTAAAATCTAGTTTGGTATGATTTTTCTTCTTTTATTGGTAATTAATATAATAGTTGATGAGCTTTTCAGTTTGGTTGTGCGTGTAATGGAATTTAGTATGTCCTATCCTTATGTGAATTTTCTAATCTTCATTTTGTTACTCTATTTTTAAAAAAGATACATAAATTGAGCCAATTATTCCTGCCTAATAATCCAATAGAAATGTGAAAAGTAAAATATTTGAATATGTAGAGAATGTTAATATGTGTAAATTTTGATATATTTCATCACGTATCCCATAAAAACAAACATTGTTTCATTTCAAGTATTTACACCAAGAAAAGCAATTTTATTATATTTAATGTAATGTTCAAATTCAAGATACTTTTATAATATGATCCTGAGGAAGCTTTTTAATGCTTTATTTGTCCATAAAGTTCAATACACCATTCATTTTCAGTAGAATAGGCTGACAATACAATGAAATACAAACATTTACCAGCAGATGTCCTCACAGAGTTTTGAAGCATCGAACCTTGAACCTTTTTTCAATACAATTGGATTGTAAAGCTTTGTTGGTTCAAAAGGCTTCACATCATCATCACTAACTGCTGGTGAAGGCGATGACGTCTGCGACGAGCACGGCTCCTCGGAGGAGCGGGGATAACGCCGGAAACACAAACTGGACCTGGTGAAGGTGAGGTGGCTCAGCCCATCGGAGATGCCGCAATGGCGCCGGCTGAAACGGAGGGAGAAGAGGAGTGACAGCCCACCGGAGATGGGGAGGTGGCGCTGTCCGGACCAGGCGAAGGTGTGGAGGTGCTCATGGATGGTGGTGGTGGTCTGTAGCCGAAGGTTGCCAGCAGCTCCTTAGCGAACGGCCAAAACGAAACCTCTTCTATGGGATGGATGTCGAAATATCGGGTGGCCCACCGCAGGGCTCTGGCTCCCAGGCAGAGCACCAGGTATGAAACCTTATTAAACTCAGATGAGTTCAAGTCCACACAGCTGGCAACATCCTGGATGAATGTCCAACCGTTCACAGGCTCACCATAATAACAGTACATCTGGGTCATCTGCTGGGTCAGTGTTGGTTGGGTCATTCTGTCACGTTGAGTGTAGGAGGTTGGACCCAAGATGCAGAAATTTCCAGAACTACTCAAGGCAGGAGAGGTTTAAAGAAAATAATTCCTTTATTAAAAGAGGATGTGCCAAAATCCAAAGCACAAATAATAAGACTAACTCTCAAAAACTCACTGAAAATTCCAAAACAAACAAAAGCTTACACATGAGCACAGACTCGGGAAAACTCGAGAGGGGAACGAGTAACGCAGACACATACGACAATGACCAAACACTGAAGGACAAGCCAGGCTTTTAACAGTGGAAAGCAATCGGGGAGCAGGTGACAGGTGAAATCAATTAACTACATGGGAAGGGAAAACCAAGCAGAGGGGAAGATAACATAACCTATAAAAACATTACATAACAAACCTAGAAACTAAGGGCCAAGATAAACAACTACTGACAAGAGGAGTAAGGGAGACTAATTAACAAGTGGGGAAGGACACAAACACTAAAGGGAACAAACAAAACGAAAAGCTGAACCTATAGAAAATAAAACTACAGAGGGGTGACTGGAGAGACCTGAGAAGCTGGAAAACACCAGGAGGAACATGAGGAGAACACAGAGGACAAACAGGAGGGGGCTGGGGACCAAGGCGACACAGAACATGACAGTACCCCCCCCCCCCCCCCCCCCCCCCCCGTGACTGGGACACTTGAGACAGGGACAGGGACTGGAACACTCGTGGGGACTGGAACACTTGTGGAGAGGCTTGAGCCTGGGACTTGGGAGGCTGGAACACTTGTGACTGGAAGACTTGAGACTGGGAGACTGGAAAACTTGGGATGTAGACCTTGAGACAGGAGATGGGGAGACGTCGACTTCAGAGCTGGAGGCGTCGACCCTTGGACAGGCTGGACCGGAGCCCCTTGGACGGACTATATGTAGGTATATATATATATACGTGTATGTATATATGTGTATATATATATATGTATTTGCATATACATGTATATATATGTGTATGTATGTATATATGTGTGTATATATATATATATAAATATTAGTGATGGGCATAGATTAACTTTTTTTATCTAGATTAATCTCACTGTAATCTTGGAATTAATCTAGATTAATCTAGATTAAAATGGCTCATTCAAATTCTGCCAAAGCTATATGTGAGTGCTACCTAGATAATGAATAAAAGCAAGTCTTTGAGAATGGAGGTGTATTTCTTGTTTCAACAATGCATCACAAAAAAAGCAGTTTTACTACGATAACTGATGATGAAAATAAATAATGATCAATAAGTATTTGTGTTTAATACCTGTTTATTCAGTTCAACAAATTCTGCACTGTAGGTCTACAGAATAGGTCATGATTAACTATTTACAGTCAGTAACATTTGGTCAATCAGTCCAAGCTCTATTTCTCCTTCTTCCACCAGTCACTCAAGCAGACCAGCTTGTTCACATTGTCTGGTGACAAACTAGATCTTCTCTTCTGCACAATATGGCCTGCTAAAGAAAAAAGTATATATATATATATATATATATATATATATATATATATATATATATATATATATATATATATATATGTATATATACACACACACACACACACACACACACACACACACACATACATGCAGACATACATACATACACACACACAAACTATCTGGCCTGGGGAGGGGGTTAAATTTCTGGGGTGCCCTTCCAATGCCCCCCTTTAGTTTGCATGTAGGATCGCCTCTGGTGAATAGGAGAGAGCTGGAAATGATGCCACAGCTCACCTGTATGAGCAGAAGCCAACTGTTGCTGTTGTTGTCTCTGAAAACGGCAAGGGGAGTTATCCTAGCTCAACTTTTCTAAACAAATATAAAAATTTATGAGTAAAACGTTTATTATTACAGGTGAATTTGAGTCGAAGCCACATGAACAACGACCTGTAGAAACAATGTATCACTTTATCACAATAAACAGCAGCTAAAAGAGCTAAACTTAGTTGGAAACCGCACCTGTCTGAGAAAGTCTTGTCTCGGTTTTCTCACATCCGAGCGCTGCTTCGGCCGCGGACGGTGAAGTGTGGCCCGGGGAAAGCCCGGCTGGAAATGTCAGAGGTAAACAAAATAAAATAAAAAGAATGAAAGTCGGATTTATGGATTAAACTCTGATGAAAGTACATAAATTATTTACTTGTCCCGCACGATGAGAAGGGAGAAGTGCTGCTGGTGGCGAAGGTGCGACTGTTCGGCTGCATGGGGAACATTAAACTCCGCGAGCCTGGCGTCCGTCCATACGTACGATGATCCGCGCCAAGTATACATCCGCGCCAACCAGGTATCCATCCACGCAATGTGACAGCCATCATAGCTTACAAATGGGCCATTCCCATCTGTACCGGGTCGGCCCGGGCCGGGTAGCCCCAGTCGGCCCCAGCCTGGCCCGGTTGATTCCACACATCCTTGTCTTAAGCCCATGTGGGCTGATTCTACCCACCAATCAGAGGCTTGCTCTAATGGAAGGTGTGAATTTGCTGTCAGCAGTGGGTGTGTTGGCCCTGGTCGGCCTGAAGCAGACCGCCTCGAGAAGAGGGCTGAGAATGAGCCTTGGTTGGCCCGGAAAAATGCCAGGCCACCCAGATATGTAAACAACCTCCGCTACCTGGGCCGGGCCGACCCGGTACAGATGGGAATGGCCCATTAGTATAGACCCAGATCCCAACCCAACTTTGAGAATAGATTAACGGCGTCATTTTTTAAAATCGCGCAATAAGAGTCATCCACCAGATGAAATCTCCTTTAAGTACATTTTTCAAACAGGAAGTGTGAAATTTTTTTCTGCAGGTGCTATGAAGGAAGTGGTCATACCTATTGTGCATATGTATATATATATATATATATATATATATATATATATATATATATATATATATATATATATATATATATATATATATACACATATACATACATATACATATACACATATACATTTACATACACACACACACACACACACACACACACACACACATATATATATATATATATATATATATATATACATATGCACAATAGGTATGACCACTTCCTTCATAGCACCTGCAGAAAAAAATTTCACACTTCCTGTTTGAAAAATTTACTTAAAGGAGATTTCATCTGGTGGATCCGGAGAGCTGTGGTGCAGAGTAAGTGACTGACATCCCCCCCCCCCCCCCCCCCCCATCCCCTCAATGTCCATCAGAAGCTGGGTCTTGGTATGTGGCATGTCAAAAGAGTCTGACATGGTGTATGAGGTTGAGAGATTCCAGCTTGATATAATCGGTCTTACCTCGATGCATGGCTCTGGCTCAGGAACAAATTAGGGGTTGGACACTCTACCTCTCTGGAGTTTCCCTAACTGAGAGGTGCAATGCAGGGGTGGGCAAATTCCTGTTTGACTCCCATCTTGGTGCCTGTATGTTGGGGTCTACCCCAGTGAGTGAGTCAGTAGTCTCCCTCGACCTACATGTGGGAGGATGTCAAGGCGTTCCCTGGCCAGGGAACATACTTGTTCCAGCGTGTCCTGGGTCTTCACTGGGTTCTCCTCCCAGTTGAACGTGCCCAGAAAAACTCACCAAGGAGACTCCCAGGAGGCATCCTACTCAGATGTAGCCTAGTGAACTAGACCAATTCTTGCTTTGCAAAGTTTGGTCTAGGCATGCTCCACTGGAACCTCCGCAGCTCCTACCAGGACTCTGGCTAGCCAATCACAACTCTCTAGAGGGGTTTCAAACACATAAAGAGCTGTAATTGGTCCATAATGGTTGGCCAATCATAGTGCTCTATCTGCTTAGTGAACAAATCACAGAGCTTTATCCGTTTTGTGGGCCAATCAGGGCACTCTATATGCCTGGTGGGTGGGATGATGCAACAGAGTGAAACAAGAGTATGTCACATTCGTTGTCCAGTGGAATGCGGAGATCATTTGAAAGACAACGGTAGAACCCGCCCCACAACCGAGAGCCGTCAACGGAGCGTGGCCAGACTAACTCAGATGCCCAAGTCACCTCAACTGGCTCCTCTCGATGTGAAAGAGCAGTGGATTTACTCCGAGCCCCCTGATGAAGCCAACAGGACCACATAATCTGCAACAATGACAGGCCAAACAGATGGCCAAAATGGATCCCCTCAACTCCTTGTCTGCGCCTAGAAATCTTGCCCATAAAAGTTATGGCATAATCTGTGACAACTGTCACCGGGAACTAGGATGACCAGGTCCCAACTCGCAAAATGTGGGACAGAGACTTCTCAATGTGGGACAACGTAAAATTCTAATGCAACACTAAAATAAATCTATTCTACCTTTTAGCTATGAAGTCACTGTTAAACATACATACAATTATTACAATCATCATCATAATATTAATGTTCTATACATTTTATTTGAATTCAACTTGAATAGGCCAACAGAAAAGCTTTCAGACTATTTTACCGTTCCTCTCCAGTTACCACAGCTTAACTCGGGCTCTTTGGACTTCTACAGCGGCTCTGAATAACTTTAATTAAAATTACTTTAAACCTTCAGCAAATTCTATAAATATAGACAGGTGCACAATAGAAAATTCAGGTTTAAGCAGCTTTCCAGCGTTTTCGTTGAATATTTTCCACAACAGAATGATAGTTAAAGTAACATTTTTAGATTAGAGCTTGATTTGAATTAATTTTACACTACAATAAGCATCCCATTGAAAAAATATCCATATGTTTTGTTGCTATTTTTTCATTCTTAATGTAGAAACTAAATTGTTTTTTATTCAAAAATGACAACAAATCTATTATAGTAGATATTTAGTGGAGAAAAAAACTTCACTGACTTGAATCTCTGAAAAAATAACACATCTAATCCAGTAATAGTTCCTCTTGTCCTCAAAGTTCTGAGAATAATTAATGAAGGCTTCCATTTAATTCTCTCAGGGTTTCTTCCATGTGTTCTAAAAGAGTTTCACTTGTTTGCATCTGAAACAACAAGCGCAGCACCTGTCTGTGTTAGAATGGACCTGTCTAATTACTGGGAAACCTGCTTCTGACCAACATGTTTTATGTGACTGATTTTCTGCTTGGAATCACATCAGACTCCTCACTCTGTCAGTCTCCCTGAACACATTTAGCCCAGGAGTTTATTTTGGCACTATTTTCTCCTCCGTGCTCACCTGTCCTCCTCCGTGCTGAGTGACGCTTCTGCTTTGGTGGATCGGATGTGCGCTCCAAGCGCTTCGGACCTGCGGTAAAGTCTCACCTCCCATTTCGATTGACAGCAGCTTTCTCACAGTTTACGCAAGACTGAAACTAGAGGAGACTGTCAATAATGCGGGACACGAGTCTCAATTTGCGGGACGTGAGAAAAGTGATGAAAATGCGGTACTGTGCACAATGCGAGAGAGAGCCATGTCAACCAACACAGCCCCACAATGTCCAGAGCCTTAATGAACTCCAGGATGTATCTTTTTCACCCGAGGGTCCTTGCCAAGAGCAGCTTTTTGACCAACTCTCAGCATCAGATTGTAGAGCCCAACCCAAAGTCCACAGACTCCACTTACTTGCTGGGAGACATGCCGGTGGGATTGAGGAGGTCTTCACCTATACTCTGCTCACTGATCCACTATGACCTGAGTTGAAGTCATGTGCACACTGTTCCCACCATAAAGTGTTGGTAGCGCACTATTTACCCCTCCTGAGGCGCTGAATCGTGGACCACAATCAGCTCGAAGCCCTTGTTGCATGGTCTCACCAAACTCTTCCCACACTCAGGTTTTTCCCTCCGCAACCACTTGAGCTGCATTCCACTTGGACTGTTGGGATTTATCAGCTGCCTTTGGAGTCCCACAGGCCAAAAAAACCCGATAGGACTATTTCTTCAGGTTCAGCATACCTAGCCGCCGGTGTCCACCATTGGGTTTGGAGGCTGCCACCACGACAGGCACCGATGAGCCCGTGGCCACAGCTGTTGACCACACAGACAATGAAAGCACGGAACTTGGCCCACTCACTCAATGCCCCCGACCTCCCCCGCGGATGTGTTTGAAATTCTGTTGGAGGTGGGAACTAAAGCTCCTTCTGCAGGAGACTCTACCAGATGTTCTCAGCAGACCCTCAATAGCTTTAGGCCTGTCAGGTCTGACCATCCTCCTCCACCATTGAAGCTAACTCACCACCAGGTAGAGGTCAGCAGACAGCTCCGCCCCTCTCTTCACCTGAGTGTTCAAGACATGCGGCCGCAGATCAGATGACACGACAATACAGTAAAGTAGATTGTCGAACTGTAGCCTAAGGTATCCTGGTGCTAAGAGCACATGAACACCTTTCTACTTGAGCATGGTGTTCGTTATGGTAAATCCATGACGAGCACATAAGTTTACTAACAAAACACTGCTCAGATTCAGATCAGGAGGGCCACTCCGTATCATCACCTGGTATCAGAACAGGACTCTGTGTTGGAAGATAATCAAAAATCTAATAACTTGGATTTGGATCAGGGACAGAAATGTGGTTGTAGCATCTCTAGATATTACTCGGCATTAAAAACTATTAATTAACTAACATTACCTTCAGTTAATGACTCTAAATGAAGCATTCTCCTAGTTTATATTGTGTGGTTTGAACCCTATCCCTATCTGAATCTTCAAACTTGTTGGGTCCTGAATCTGTTTTAACAATTTGCTATTCGTGCCCCCTTTTAAAACTAATCATCCGCCCTTTCAAAGGTCTCTGCACGGCACTGCTGGACTTTTGCAGCGGATTCTCATTTTTCCTGCTTTACCTAGATGTTGGTGTACAAAGAGGAAAGTCATGTATTCCTCATTTGTCAGACTGAATAACAGGAACTACCAGATGTTAGCGCCCCCCCCCCCCCCCCCCCACACACACACACACACACACACACACACGTGAACAGCTGTCCTCTGAATTCCCCAGGATTTCCTCCAGCTCCGTGTTCATAAGGTACCTGATGATTCACTCCCTCACCTCTGCAGCGCAGAGCCTGGGGCCCCTCCCCTCCTCGGAGTGGGGTACTGTTCCCCCAACACGTCCAGCTGCAGAAGGAGGACCTCCCAGAGACAGAAGATGTGACCGCCTGGATGGAGAATCGCGGAGATCCAGCAGCGCCCGTCCTACAGGAGTTGTGGGAGTGGGTGAGAGCCGGGCAGGAGGAGGTGCTGCGCTCCCCTCACCTGGCCGCGTGCTGCGCCTTCCTGACTCACGTCCTGCTGTGCGCGCCTTTCTTTGCGCTGGACGCGCTGGGGCGCGTTTGTGAGCGCGTGCGCATGTGGAGGATAGCCGCAGGTTCGGGTCCGCCGCCGTCCCTCCGCCGGTGGTCTGAGTGCTTCTGCAGGGTGTTGTTCCGGTACCTGACAGCTGTGCTGCCCGCCGCCACCCTGCTCCAGCTGCTGCGGAGCCCCGAGCTCCCGGAGTGGGCCCCCTCCTGCTGGCAGCTCTTTGTGGAGGTTGTGGCATGTTTCCTGTTGTTTGACATGCTCTTCTTTCTGTGGCACTACCTCCTGCACAGGTGAGCACGTGCTTCCTTCTGGGGTTATAAAACAGAACATGACACTGAAATCCGACACGTATTGAGGGACATCTGTGTTGCAGCATTTCCAGACAATCAAAAAGTTCTTTATAAAATCAGCTACAATGGAATAACTACTATTGCCCAGTCCAGGATGTGACTACTGCCCGGAGCCATTCCACCTTTGGGACAAGATGTTGGGTTAAAAATCAAACGAGTCTCTTGTTGGAAAGAATGGTGCTCGAAGGGTTAAAAGAAAAAAAATATGAGTGCCAGGAAGTACTTGGAAACTGAGTCTCTGTAGGTTTCAGAGTCAAAAATAACCTCAGAAACAAAAAGTTAAAGCAGAAGCATGAGAGATTATATGAGCAGAAAGGGTTCAAAGATCCAGAACACTCCGTTCCAGACATGATTTGTTGACATTAAATTAGGAATAATAAGAGTTCCCTAATATTAGGATGATCATATTTCCATTTTCAGAAAAAGAGGACAGGAGATCTGTGCCTACCGATGACGTCACACTAGGGCTGGGCGATACAGCCTAAAATCAATATCGATACATTGAGGATTTAACCGCTAACAATAAATGGACGATAACTACAGGTATGTGCAGAAACAAAGTTGTCCACTAGATGGGGCTGTCACATGCATTATGTTGAGTCACAGTTTTGCGTGACTCAAGGTGGAACAGCTTCTTAAAGGGACATGAATGTTGCCAACCTTCACACATCTTTTCATTTTTTTTATATTTATTGACATGGGAAAAACGATCTCGATGAGAGTCAGAAATTTCTATAATGATACATTTTCGATTTATTGTCTGTCTCTGGCAAAACCACACAAACCACGTTGGGATGCATTTTTTCCCCAGGTGGAGCTAAAATTAATATCAGATTCTGCCAACAAAAGGACTCTAAAACAACAGACTTTTTCACTTCATCAGTTACTTTGAGCAGATCTCCTGACCGCAAAGCAGAGTGCGTGTTTCGATACTGCGTCAGTGAGGTGAAATCACCGCAGCACACGATGAGCAGAGCGTGTCAGGAACAACTAAAAGACAGACTACCAGATGATATACACAGATATGAACGATCAAGGGTTAATAATAAGGTTTTGTTGCGCCACCTTGAGAAGGTATCGTGCGCCGGATGCAGCGGGCGCCCAAACGATCAGCGCTCTGCGTCCTCTCCGCTCAGCAGAATCCCGCTACGCTGAGAGTCCATAAATATTGTACTATAGGCAGAAACTGGATCTTTCCCTCAAAGACATCTAGCCCCCATAATTCGATCCTTGCTCCTGGATGAAAAACCGGGTATTTTGATCCGTGGAAACCCCGCCGGACGCTCCGGACAGAGAGTGAAAAGTGGTTATGTCCGGGGAAAAGAGGACGTATGGTCACCCTACCTAATATGTCCCTCGTGGGGAAATTGCATTATTGCAGCAGCTGAAGGGCACAAAAGATGTCACACAGAGTATAATTTTAAATTAAGATAATCAAGATAATTATTGCACATAATAACAATAGTAGTAACATTGCACATGTGGAGTGTTACAGATGTTTGGGCTCCATGTTAGTAGTGACCATAGAGTCTAACAGCTGCAGTATCACTCATTCACACTGAGAGGATGGATCAGTCTGTCACTGAAGCTGCTCTCCAGAGCAGACAGGACGTCCTACAGTAGTGTGACCCACAGTCCAGCACCCTCTAAATAATAATAATAATAATGCATTTTATTTAAAAGCGCCTTTCAAGGCACACAAGGACACTTTACAGCAGTAAAACTAAGTTAAAAACAGCAAAAACTCACACAGAAGCCTAAAAATACACACTAGATAATAAAATCTATGAAGATGGAAAAGGTGACACTAGCAGAATGCAGTCTGAAACGGGTGGGTTTTGAGTCTAGATTTAAAGGAGGAGAGCGAGTCAGAGTTACGGATGGCTTGAGGGAGAGAATTCCAGAGAATTCCATAGTGCTGAGACAGAAAGGTGGGACAGAGAGAGTGATAGAGGATGATGATCTGAGGGAACGGATGGGAGAGATAATGTGAATGAGGTCAGACAGGTATGGGGGAGAAAGGTTATGGATAGCTTTAAATGTGAGGAGAAGGATTTTGAAATCTATGCGTTGTTTAACAGGAAGCCAGTGAAGCTGTTGCAGGACATGGCTAACATGGTGACTCACAGGAGTTTTGGAAATGATGCGTGCAGCAGAATTCTGGACCAGTTGGAGCTCATGGAGGGACTTTTGTGGTAAACCAAATAGGAGTGAATTGCAGTCATCGATTCTTGAGGTGACAAGGCTGTGAACAAGTATGGAAGCAGAGTGGGGTGGGGGTGGGTGTGGGGGGTGGTGGGCAAAGGTGATATTGTGCAGGTGAAAGTAGGCAGACCAAGTGATGTTATTGATGTGGGATTGAAATGAAAGTGGTGTCAAGGATCACACCCAGACTCTTAACCTGCAGAGAAGGAGAAACAGAGGAGGAATCAACAGTAAGGGAAAAACTGGGAGCTTTGGATAAGGTGGATTTGGTGCCAACTAAAAGTATTTCTGTTTTGTCACAGTTAAGTTTGAGAAAATTTGTGGTGAACCTAGATTTAATTTCAGCTAGACAGGAAGAGAGGGAGGGGGGTAGAAGTGGAGACTGGGGTTTAGGGAAAAGTTAAGCTGGGTGTCATCGGCATAGCAGTGAAAATGAATGTTAAGTTTGTGAACGATATGACCAAGTGGAAGGAGGTAGATAATGAAGAGAAGGCGCTCCAAGACAGATCCCTGGGGCACACCTTTGACAACTGGGGAGGGGTCTGATCTGAAGGATTTGAGTTGTATGAATTGTGTGCAGCCTGAGGGATAGGAGAGGAACCAGTCAAGTGTGAGATGGGATGTGCCAATAGAAGAGAGCCTGTCAAGAAGAATTGAATGAGAAATGGTATCAAAAGCTGCGCTCAGATCAAGCAGGATGAGGACGGTAAGAAGGCCTGAATCAGCAGCAGTCAGAAGATCATTAGATCATCTTGTCCCCCACCTCTTGTACTGAGTCCAGAGGACAGCCCAGGACAGAGCTGGACTTCTTTATCAACCTGTCCAGCTTCTTCCTCTCTCTCTGTGACGCTGCTGTTCCAACAGACCACACCATACAGGATTGCTGATGCCACCACAGAGTCACAGAAGGTCTTCAGGAGTATCCCCTTCACTCCACAGGACCGCATCTCCTCAGGAGGTAGAGCCTGCTCTGGCCCTTCCAGTACGGTGCAGGAAGGGCCAGGTGAACACCCAGTTATTTATAGGATTCCACTCTCTTGATGTCCGTTCCCTGGATGTTTACCTGTGAAGGAACAGCAGGCTGGCGTTGTCATGTTGCGAGGGTGTGGAGATGATGGACCTTGTGTGGTGGAGAGTTCCAGGAGGCAGGAATGCAGGCACGGATAAAGTAAAAATGGGTTTAATGACAGGATACGCCAAGAACGAGAACAACACGACAAACAACAATGATCTGACAAAGACTGGCACAAGGAGGGAGGTATAAATACACAGGGAAATCAGGAACACATGGGCAGGTTAACAAGGGGCAGGTGAGGACAATAAGGGCTAATCAGGGCAGGAGAGGAACACAGTCAGGAAGGCAGGGGCAGATTGTGACAGTACCTACCCCCCCCCCCCCCCCCCCCCCCTTAAGGGGCGGATACCAGACGCCCACAAGGCCACACAACACAGGAGACTGGGAACACTTGACTTGGGACAGGACCGGGAAGACTTGACACGGACACAAACACTTGACCAGGAACACGAACACTTGACCAGGAACACGAACACTTAACCAGGAACACGAACACTTGACTGGAACACAAGCACTTGATTGGACAGGAAGCAAACTGCAGCAGCAGGCGTGGGACCCAGCAGGAACTGCAGCAGCAGGCATAGGACCCAGCAGGAACTGCAGCATGAAGGACCTGCAGGCATAGACCCTGCAGGCGTGGACCAGGAAGTGGGACGAAACAGCAGGAGCGACGCGAGGAAACCAGGAGCGGTAGCAGGTACTCGGCAACAGTCTTGATCAGGTGCACACCGTGACTCGACTGGATCCAACAGGCGGAGGCTCGGGTGAAGGGAAGCAGAACATGGAGCAGGAAGACCAGCCCTACCACCCCGGAGAATGTTGGCGTGCGTAGGGGTTTTTACCTCCATCAAAACTCCAGGATCCTCGGCTTCCATTGGAAAAAACAAGACGGGGCAGAAAGCAGGAGAGGAGAAGGGGTTCGACCACCCCTGGAACGAGTAGGATGCGCCGAAACCCCCTCAATGGTTCAACCACCCCGGAAACAGGTAGGATGCGCCAAAAACCCTTGAGTCAGAATCTCCCTCTGCTAAATGGAGAAAAAAGAAAAAAATAGTCCTCCAGAACAGATGTTGCAGAGCTCACCACAGGTCCAGGTTGGTCAGATCATTCTGTCATGTTGCGAGGGTGTGGAGATGATGGACCATGTGTGGTGGAGAGTTCCAGGAGGCAGGAATGCAGGCACGGATAAAGTAAAAATGGGTTTAATGACAGTATACGGCAGGAACGAGAACAACTCGACAAACAACAATGATCTGACAAAGACTGGCATCAAGGAGGGAGGTATAAATACACAGGGAAATCAGGAACACATGGGCAGATTAACAAGGGGCAGGTGAGAACAATAAGGGCTAATCAGGGCAGGAGAGGAACACAGTCAGGAAGGCAGGGGCAGATTGTGACAGGCGTCTTCAAAGGTCCACCACTATCTCCGTTGTTTTCCCTGCATTAATGAGTCCACAAAGTTCTGTGTGAGTCCTCTGTACAGATCATCCTCGGTGATCAGTCTGACAATTGCATAGTGGTCTGAGAACTTCTGCAGAACACAGCTGTCCGTGTTGTACCTGTGTTGTAAACTGACTATGTCAGACTAAAACCAGTACGCCCAGTAACAACTGAGACAGCTAACCTGGTGGGTTGGGTCATCATGTCCTAGCGAAGTATTTGTGGTTTCCCCTCTGCAACAACACACTTGATTTAACCAGAATTACCTCCAAACATTCTACTAAATCCTGTCAATGACTTCTTTGTTTTAATCATGATTAAGCAGGGAAGCACCTAAAACCTGCACGACGGTGGTCCCTGAGGGACACGTGGGCTATGACAGTTTTGTGCCGGGCGGTCATTGTGTTTGTGTTCCTCCTCAGGATCCCCTGGTTGTATCGCAACGTCCACCAGATGCACCACCAGCACCACGTCCCCTTCGCCCTGGCGGCGCAGGACGCCAGCTCAGCTGAGCTGCTGTCTCTCCTGCTGCTGGCTCTGAGCAGCGCCTGGGCGTTGGACTGCCACCCTCTCAGCGAGACCCTCTTCCACCTGCTCAACAGCTGGCTGGCAGTGGAGGATCACTGTGGCTACAACCTGCCCTGGGCACTACACAGACTGCTTCCCTTTCTGGGGGGAGCCCCCCACCACCAGGCCCACCACAGTCAGCAAAGTTCCAACTACGCCCCCTACTTCACCCACTGGGACCACCTCTGTGGTACTTACCATTCATGAGCGCTGCAGCCGCCTTCGGAGGGAACAAGAGCTCCGCTGAACTTACAGTAAAATCTGATGAAGACGATTAAACAAAAACAAACCCTAGCTGATGGTTTAAAGTTAGGTTAGAAATAAAAAGGAGAAGAATTATGTGTTTTATGAAGTGCTGTTTGCTACTCTGGCCCCCGGACTCTGGACCTCTCTCCCACTGAGTCTGAGATCAGTAGACTCATTGGTCTCCTTTAAAAAGCAGCTGAAACCTCACCTTTTCAGGCTGGCTTTGGTGTGTTATTATTATTATTATTATTTGGTAGGTTCTTATTATTTTTAGTTTTTTTAACTTGTGAAGCACCTCGTGATTTTTATCTTCTACAAAAGATTGTTTCTTCTTCTGTTGAAGGAACACTTTCTTTGTTTTTTGCTGCAGAAAGATTGAGTCTAATTTGTTAATCACATTAATAGCATTCAGTAATCATAGAAAGTGGTCAAATTAAGATATTTCAATTATTATCACCACACAGATTTCACATATATTAATCTGACGGGTTTATCCTTCAGGTCAAAACTCAGAGCTCTGGAGCAGAGTCAGCTGCAGCCCGAGATATTGTAAATATTTAAAGAGGCAGTAGAATGTAAAGCCACACTTACGTTGTTGAATAAAGGCTCGGTGGTCTAATGTGACAAAAGCTCAGAGTCTGACCTGTTTTCGGTGTAAATTAGACATCTTTAAAGACGAGGGACAGACGTTTTCTAGAAAAGCTTCACAATAATTCGTCATAACAAGCCACACCTGCTTTAATCCACATCTTCCGACCCACCTTAAGTTCAGCGTTATTCATTCGTTGGTCGCAGCGCCAAGCCTCTGCTAACACCAGCTGTTAGAGACGGAAAATCTTGGAAGAGCATGCCTTCCGAGATTTACTCGCCCTGTTGTGGGAAGGCGCATGGCTCATTGCAGCCACGTGTTGAGGAAATAAACGATTAGAAATATGGGTAATTGGGCAGCTTCCTAATACATTTGTGCTATTAACTCATGACTAATTCATTTGCTTTGTTACAAAATGAATGTTTGGGGGCAGATAAATAAAATAAATGATAGTTTTTAACACGTTTTGTTTGGAAGTATCAAGACAAATTTTTAAAAGTTTTTATCAAAATGGTTTTTTTCTGCTCCCTGATTTGTAATTTTGAGTCTCGTTCCTGCTTTTTTAAAGCAACAGAGAAAAAGTAAAAAGTCACTAAAGCATCAGTCAAACAAGTCAAAAACTAAGTATTTCATCATATTTCTGGTCAAAAACTACACTTTGTCCGCAGAATTCACGGATTATAAAAATATTACAAATAGCCTCGTTCCTCATGAGTGTAACGATTTGGTTACTTTGAATATATTGTCAATAGAATATAAAGGTATTCAGTAAAATGTCATATTCCATATAAATATGATCATCATTATTGACCCTTTAATATTCCATCGCTGGTTAATCCAGGGAAACAACATTTTATATTAATTTGACACAGAGGCAAAAATATAGTTTATAAAAATCTATGTATTACTATATTAATGATGATGAAAGATAAATGATGGTGCAAAGTGATCAAATGAGACAACAAATGAACTCTGATGGAACATGACCTTGTATGTTTAAGAGTTTTTCTAAGTGACTCAGAAAGGTGTGATGTCTGGGTTTATAAAAGGAATTTGGCTGTTTGGCTGTAATTTAACAAGTTATCAAATTTACATCAACCACTCTGACGCCATCGTTTAGTCTACGCACACTGGATGGTGGAAGTTCTTGGAGATCCGGTCTGCAGGTGAAGCCGTCTCTCAGAGCGCATGAGTGGATTTCTCATGCATCTGAGGATCGTGGACACCATCAGCATACGCACGACTGGTCAAAAGATACTTCCCAGGTGGCTTCTGGCGGATGCTTTCACGCCTGATCAGTGGGTGGTGGATTGAGCAAATAACAGTTGTTGAAACAAAAGGATGGTTCATGTGCCGCTAAAATTATTCCACTGAACGTTCTGGTTTGATTCACCATAGGATGGTCATTTAGCATGAGCTCTGAGCTATGGCTGCAACTGGCTAATATATATATATATATATATATATATATATATATATATATATATATATATATATATATATATATATATATATAGTGGGGACTATATCACAAGGCACTTCACAAGAACAAAATAAATAACAGAAATGATTAAAACAGATCATTCTAACAAAGCATTTATTTGACAAAAATGAAGAAAAACTAAAGAGTAACACGCACAACCACACACACATTTTTGTCCCGTGTAGTCATAAAGTACGGGTTAAGCTTGGTTTATGCTTGACGCATTCACTTTCTGCTTGGTGATGCGGCTCGCGGATGGAACGCGCTTCACAACTCGCAGCGTTTATGGTTCATGCTGCTCGTCTCTGCGGTGAGCCAATATTCTCCCAAACTGAACGGGGCAGCATGGAGCTCTACGGCATGCACCCAACACTACACCATAGTAGAAGTAGAAATTACTGTTTACAACATGGCATTTCAGCATTTTTAACAGCATCCTCGTCTTTTCCGACAGTGCGAGCTATTTCTCTCCAAGAATTATTAACAACATGTTGATCACGGTGATCTCTGAGAGCTGAATCATACAAATGTCTATGTTTACGAACCTCTACCATACTAGTTCTTGCCGGTCCGCCATGTTTTTTGTGTCCATCCGTCCGCGTGGTTAGAAATTTTCCGAGGTGCGCATTGCGGAAATCTTGGTCCGTGCGGAGACGCGGTGGAGGGGCGTGGTTGTTAAAATTACTCAAAATGACGCAACTTTTCTGCGCGGAGCCGTGCAGACCTCGCAGACGCGTCAAGCATAAACCAACCTTAAGCTGCCTTGGTCAGCATGCAGCTCATTGCACATTCATGTTCTGGTGGGCTGGGCGGGCAAAACAGCTCTTTTTAAAACGACCCTTATTATGCGTGTTTTATTTGGTCATTTGTCAGAACTCATGGGAGTTTTTGACTTCCGACAGAGGCTCAAAGATCCGTTTTCAACCGTAAACAAACCCCATTCTAGAACACCTTAAAATATATGTTTGCTGCTGGAGAATTTTCAGTAGAAAACATTTGGTTTTGTGAGCAACGGATGCAGACTTGGTGTTCATTGTTTCATGTTCCTGCTGCAGCAATCTGTACGCTCTGGGGGTTCTCAGCTGCTTTGTTCACATGGAAAACCAGTTCCATGGGGGATGTTACCGTACAATCAAAACCACGTGTTTCTTAATATGTTTGTCTTTGCAGTTTACTGAAAGTATGTTGTCAACCGCACTAAAATCTTTCTGCTGACTGTCTGATCCACCATGCTTCTGCTGCTCATGCTGAAGAGCAGAGTTAGGAGTTGCTAACGCCTCCTGCTCCTCATCACGGGCCCGTCTTGGACTCACAGTGTGAACCATCAGGAGGAGGCCCAGCAACTGCAGAAGGCAGTCTTGGCAGCGGAAGCAGAGATTCTAATCATGTGGAGAGGTGCTGCAGGGAAACAGAGAAAGTCCTGAGAAGAAAAAGGAAACAAGCCAGCTAATGAAAAACACAGAGACACAAATTTAAGTTCATCTGAGTCTCTAATGAGACAAAAACAGTAAAAGTATGATGAACTTCAACAGCACAAGCTCTGCTACACATGTCCCTCCAGATTTCTGTCGATTGTTGTCATCTGAACCGAACATCTGTTTCTCGTCTCTCCTAAAACCACGTTTAAACGTTTTGGAACAGCAGATGTAAACAGTTAAAAGGCGTTTGAATATCTGGAGGTGATTTTTTTTCTCGTGAAGCACGAAGCAGAGATTGTGCAAGCAGTGCCTCTGAGGACAGCTGAGTTCTGGGTGGTGGAGGAGCCTAAAGATGGTTTGATAAAGAGCTTGACCCAAAGCGGAAACAATCAGGCCCTATTACAGGCCCAGCGTCAGAGTTAGGGCCAAAATCACACGTTCACAGCGAGAGGCACGTCAACGTGCAGCTGCCGGCGTCGTGATGTCAGCCCGAGGACAATTATATGATCCTGAAGCTATCTGAGATATCTGCACACGCACACAGGCCAAAGTCTTCTTAAAGATCTTTCTAGCAATTCTTATTTTGAGGCCTTATTTTTCATAAAAAACTGAAAAAGCAGAATCCACTCCAGCCGTCCTCATCGACAGATCACATGCTGATAAAACATCTCCCCTGAACACGCTTCCTCCACGACAAAGGCCAGATTCACGAGTCCTCCTATGCTCTGTAAATATTCAATTAGTGATCCAAAAATAGCCGAGACCATCTCTTGTAACAGTGGCTGAGGTTCTTGCTCTTGTCTCTGTTTCTAGAAGGGTTCTGCTCTGTCCTACACAAAGGGTCACCAGGGCCCGACTGATTTGGGTTCTGAAACATCTCAGTGCATGTATGGGCTGTTGCCAAATCTGGATTTCTAAGAGGCCTCTGACAAAATCCCAGCAGAGGCATCTGTGAACTGTCAGTAAAGCAGCAGATTTGTGATGCGTACAAGCTTTACTCCGCTCCGACGATCCTCTCAGTGCTTTTAAAATGACTTCATAAACCCACACAAAGGAAATGAACAGCTGCTCACCGTGAAGTAACACCTCCAAGCTGCAGCATAGCATTTTATTCTGATAAACCTTCAAGTTTCTGAGAAAAAAATTGTTTGCATTGTTTGGTTTTAATGTGAAAATCACACACACACACACACACACACACACACACACACACACACACACACACACACACACACACACACACACACACGCACACACGCACACACACACACACACACACACACACACACACACACACACACACACAAAGGTAACCGTTTGAGGACTTAGTCGACAGCAGCTGCATATTTACAACTGTGTGTACGTGAGCTGGTACACACCCGTCCTCGTTTGTGTCTCATGAACACGTTGCTCTTGTGAGCACATGTGATGCTGCACCTGAGGAGCCGTCCCAGAGCCCCGTGCCTGCAGACTGGGCCTGTCTGCTCAACCTGGCTTCACCCAGCTGTGGAGTCACCATCAGCAGCAGAACCTCAGTGATGTTCTGTTGCCAATTATGCGAATACGTAATGAATGGAGGACCCAGGGCAGTGTGGCGGTTCGACGAGACAGACAACCGGATGGTCTAACGGTTGCTTTTGATTTGATGCTATGATTGATGGATGTTTTTAGACTAATGCGAGAGAACCACTTTATTAATTTTGGGTTTTTTTTTTAGCTCCACATTATATTTGGATGTTAGAATGTTGTTTGGAGGCATGAGAAACGTTTTCGTCTAGCTTGTTTGGCAGATTTGCTGTTGCAGCTTAAATAGTGAGAACAGGACACACTTTTGCTTCTATGGCCACATTCTTTTCTTCTCTGGGTTACTTGTTCAGGAAAGTTTACATTTTTTATATTCTATAAAAGTATTATTCAAAAGCAAAGTTTAAGTTTTATGAGTAAAAAATTCAGTAAATCTTTAACCCTCTCAGGCTCTAAATAAGTTTTGATAAAAGGACGAACAACCAGGTTCTTCAGGGGTACTTCTGAGTTAAAAAATGCTCATGAAATACATATGTGGAGTAAACAGGTCGGTAGGTTTTAACTGCTGCTAATCTGCACCGCCTGCCTCCAGAGGGTTAACTATTATTTCATGTTTGTGACTACTGAAGTTATTTTCTCTTTAACAGAAGGTTGCAGCTATTTTCTGTAGAAACAATGTTCACAGGTTCTTCCTCCTGTTAGCGGTTAGTGCTGTTGGTGGGTCATTCATTAGCAGGTCTTCCATTCCTTTCCCATGGTCCTCTGTTGATCTGCTGGTGCATGAACTACGACCTCTGGGCAGATAGCGTCGGCATGAAGGATTGTGTGTCTGCTCCTGCAGCTTCTTTGAAACCGTTTTGCAAGTCCGAGGCATCTGAGTCAGAACGACTCGGTGCTCATGAGACACCAGAACCAGAAATGTGTTGAGTAGTTTTGTTTATTTCATTGTTTTACAATCTTTGACCGTTTTTCTTCCCAACATTTTTTCGTGCTGCAAATGCATTGTCATGGGTACAAAACCTGCGTTAACAAACAAACGTACAAATATATTCATCTACTTTGGTGTAGAAATTAATAAATTAGAACAATAAATAGTATTTTATGAGACACAGGCAGCAGACATAACAAACAGCTCATAACGGAACAACAAGAGCCCTCCGCCATTTTTACTTCAGGCTTAAAGACAGTCATCCTGTTCTCACGCAAGTGATGGATGACTGCTGGAGACATGCTGAGGGCACAGACTGCTGGGTCAGTTAGTTTAAAATGTAGCCTGAGAATGTGGACCCCCCCACCCACACACACACACTTGAAAAGTTGCATTCAGTCCTCCGAGCACACGTGGTGGAGTAATGTTTTTTAACCCCCAACACCTCGCTATCGCTGCGGCTTGAGGAGAGTGGAAAATAGACGTGAAGTGGGAAACGGGGTTGAGATAAGTGGCCCTGCCACCGGGAGCGCTTGCACAGAGCTCACATATCAGGGCGCTGCAGGAGGCGGGCCTGCGGAGTTTGTGGCCTGTCAGGCTGCCTCAGGCAGGTCATTTGACTGCACCGAGGCACATGAAGTGCTGATGAGTGTTTGCATTGAGTTGGGAGGCCAGAGATAAGTGGAGAGGAAGACAGCTGTCAGGGGAAAGCAGAGGGAGGAAGACGACTGGCCCACGAGTTCCCACCGGTGCGCACAGATTGTTGCACAGCTCAGTTTTTACAGAGGTTTTGGGGATGAGAGTGTAACTTTTTAGTGGCAACACTCCGTCTGTAGGTCTGTTCCACGGCTCAAGTCTTCTCCACCGATGCTGCAGAGATTCACGCTTTATGCCTTGGAAGATGAAATAGTTCCGGTCTGGCTGTGCAGAGTCTTGTTCTCACAGGTAGCTTCATCAACGGTGACGTGACATGTCGGTCTCACTAGGTGGTGCTCAGAGCTTTGCCCCTGCCCTCTTGGCTTTTCTCCACAATCGTTGATGTTGTGTCGTCCTCGTCTGGTAAGACTTTACAAAGAGTTCAACCAAAAAGATGGACTATCTGCAGCCACACTCAGCCACAACCATCCCTTCATACTTGTACTTGTACGTAACCACCCCTGTGTCGTCCAGGTAGAGAAGAGAGATGGGGTCCAGCTTGGTTGGCACGCAGCAGGCTTGAGCCGCCTTCTGGGGGCTGTTGATATTGACCAGCGTCTGGACAATGGCGTGCTTGGTGGGTGTGACGTGCTTGGTCAGCGGGTAGGAGCAAATGCCAGCGCATTCAAAAGCTTCGTAACCAGTGGGCGCCAGGATCCAACTGTCCCATCCAATATCCTTGAACTCCACGTATAGAGATTGCTTCTTGCAGTGGTTCCCTTTGGCGTTGCGCCGAATGCGGGATGCCGTGTCGTAGATCAAGTTAGAGCGCATCTGGATAAGGTCTTCTTCATTTGGTTCTCCTTCATCACTGTCCCCTCCCACCTCCCCCCACATCCCGTCCAGACCCACTTCCATGTCGTTCTGCAGCACGGCGTTAGAAGTCTCGTGGTCAATCATCTCATTCAGCTCACGTTTGTCATCGCGATGATCACCGCTCTGATCATCAGAGAAAACAATCAGCAGGGGGTTGTGCTTTTCCTCTGGGCTGTTGTCAATCCTCATGTCCCCTTCAGGTGGACTCCTGTCTTTTCTGTCATTTCTCACACCTTGATCATTCCGATCACTGGAAATGCTCGATATGTGGACTTCCAGTCGGCGCGTGGTGCCGCCATCAGATTTGCGCCAACGCTGAACAGCGCCGGTGAGATCAAAAGCCTCCCAGCCGTTATCGGTCCCGTAAACCTGACGCGAAGCCAGTTCTACCAACTGAGTCCGCTCCTCTTCTTCTCTGAAGGCATCTCCCCTCGTTGTTTTCACATCGGTCGCGTTGCCAAGCCAGTCGTGGGATTTCAGTTCATAGATGGTGACCTTGCGGTCCACTCCAGTATAAAGGTGTCGGTCAGTCTGGACCAGAGTGTAGAGGCGAAGCTCTGCCGTCACGATGCTTTCGTGATGGGGAACCGACACGTTGAAGAGGAGTGGGTGGCGTCTCACTCCTCTGACACCCACAACGCTGGGATTTGAATCTGCACAGAAAGATCAGTCATGAACTTCTCCACTGAATTCAACTCTTTCACTGCGTTTCAGCAAACTTTCAGTACATGAATCTGTCCCAAAACAAAGGAACATTCACTCTTTATTATATTTTTGCTGCGTTTGGTGAAAAAAATTACTTTTAATTGAAAGTTTCTTTGCAAAGACAAGCTCTCAAGATCCAAATCATTATTGTGTCAGAATAAAAAGGAACTTTCTTTTGTGCGGTTCAATGAAACTTTCCTTGGTAATTTGAATATTTCATATTTTCCTCAAGTAAATTCCTAAACTGTAAAATTTTACATCATTTCAGCAATTCAAATAGAAAACCCAGTTCTCAAAAGCGTGTCTGTAGGCTTCTACCTTCGTTTCTGAAGCTGCGTATGATGTTGGCGGTGGGCATGGCCGTCCGATCATTAGCAAAGCGGTTATAAAGCTCCATCATGTATTCAGGAGGCTCTTCTTTTGTACTTCTAGGAGGCGACATTGGAGAACCCAAGCCAGACAGGTTGAAAGTTTGTAGAAACTGTTCCTTCAGGTTCTCCAGCAGACTTTGCATTTTTGCGTTGTCTTCCTGCTCCAGCAGCGAAGGATCCACCACCCCTCCATGCCCGTCCCCTAGTCCTGGAGCAGGATTCTGCCTGTGATGAGCGCTGGGGATGGGGTTGCTTTCTCCACAGAGAGGCCCTCTGAGCAGCAGGATGGAAAACAGCAAGAACAAAACCTTGGAGGTGCAAATGGTTCCCGGGTGAGAGACCCAAATGCTCGCCATGAGAGAAGCAGTCTGCAGCGATCTAGTGTCTGCCCACTGGGGTGTCCTGTAGTCGAGCTCATGCAAAAAAAACCAAAAGGTTCATTAACTTGTGTTCAGTTTCTCTGCAGTCTGAAACATTTGAGGCAGTCGTGGTTCTTCAGCAGCAGCGGACCCTTTCCCTGGTCAACGAGAGGCCCTCTGCATTCGTGTTTACGCCTGGCGCTCCCTCCAGATCTCACAGTATTTATTCTCATGCACACCTTTTGAAGTCCCTTACAGCAGGACTGTGGTTCCGGTGGCAGGGTGGCCGAGGCTCGTCTTTGTTTGTCCCACTCATCTCTGTAGTGTCCTCTCCCTTGTTGGTCCGTCTCTGTTCTGCTCTCCCTTCCCAGCTCTGTCCCTTATCTACGATATGGTGGGCCCTGCACTGCGCAGTGCTTATGGGCTCTTTGTGGTGTATGTGTGTGCGTGCGTGTGTGCATGTGTGTGTGTGTGAGTGTGTGTGCGATGGCCTGCCGTGTGCGTTATCTCACAGCTTCCTTAATGAGGATTTTATAAACACTGTCCTGCAGCCTCTTCCTTGTTTTGGTGGGCGTTCCAGGATTGATTCTCTTCTCTTGTTTGTTTGCTTTGGTGGAGTTCTCTCAGTGTCTTTCTAATCTTCATTGAGCATTTCTTTTTGACAAAACACTGCCTGGGCCTGTTGATGTCGCTGAATGCAGCAGGATATCAGACAACCCCAATCTAAATGAAGTAAAAAGGCAATGAGGTGTGGGACCGCAGCAGCAGATCGCGAGTTTGCTTTGAGCCTCAAGAACATTTCAAGTTTCTGTCAAAATATACAAAATAATTCAGCCGCGACAAAACAAACTCAACTCCTTCCTCTGCGGGTTACGAGGACGAGAGGGCACTGACAGCGGGATGAGGCACCTTCACGTGCCTTGACGGGGGGGGGGGGGGGGGGGGGGGGGCATGTTTTTCTGGAGACATTCTACCCGATTAGGGAGACAGCAGAAAGTCAAAGGTGAAGCTTGCAGAAATGTGGTGACACAGAAAGATTTTCACCATCCAACAATGTCTGGCATCCAACGAACGCATGACCGCTCTCTGCTGGCACGGCCGGCTGCGCTGAGAGGCTCCGGTTATGTTAGCATAACCTCATTAACTGCTCAGTTAGTCACCTGAACCCACTTCCCACCACACTGTCCTTCATTCCTCGGCTTCTTCTCGTGACCCCCAGATACACTCCTGATTTCAGTGCGTCACTGAGATGGGAAAGAATGAGCTTTTCCTACCTCTGCCACTCATCTGCCAGGCTGATGGTTGACAGACGTGCCGTTATCTGGTGCTTTGTTGAACTGCTGCTGCAACAGGCTGTCACATCTTCCTGATGGGCTTGAGAAGGCTTGATAGTGGTAACATCCTTTTGCACACACACACACATGCACGCACGCATGCACGCACGCACACACGCACACACACAGCTAAAACCCTTCATGTGGTCTCCATTACAGGCCCCAGGGTGTAACAAATGTGGATTTGTGGAGGTGGCTGACTCCATATTTGGGGCCGGACCCTTTAACAGACAATAATTTGTGCTGATATACAGTTTCACTCTTTTATGATCTCCCATCTGCTGCCCAACAGAACTAAAAGCAGCTAAAAGCAACACAAATCTGCAAAATGCAATTCCTGTAAATGCCCTCCTAATCAGCAGGACGCCTGCGTGGTCCTGACGGCTAAACTGAACGAATCTGCCAGTTCCAGTTAAATCCAGCTCATCGGCAGCAGAGCAACAAAAACAAAGCAGCAAAGGCAACATTTTTACACACCCATCACCCTTAATGTGGTCTCGTGGTTTGGTCAGTTTAACGGGGCCTGAGGGAGAAACGCGGACACGCCGGTGCCAAAGCTCCTTCATGTATACAAATTCCTTTAATCTCTTTGGGGTTTGGTGAGCTTTTTCATTTGTTTCTTTCCTGCTACATCTAACCGTGAAGCGACAGCGTCTGTCTGAAAAACAAATGTGGGAGAATGAAATTAATCTTCAGGTTTTATTAGAAAGACTCGTGTGACCAAGTGAAGCCAAATCTGGATTATTTGAAGTTACAGCAGAGCTCAGCACAAATAAGACACACGCTAACATGACATCACTTCATTTATTTCTAATTTCCTTCATTATTCCAGCCCTTTTTTCTCTCTTTAGGCCTGTTTTTGCACCGGATTGAAGAAATACTCAAACATGAACGAATGTTCTGAATCTTTTTGTCGATAATAAACTCGTAGTTCAGTTTCATGACGGGTGACATCTGAACGACACAGGTGGGTTGTTTGTGCCAGGTGTGGCTCTGATGGGGCAGATGACGCGTGTTTAAGCCTCTAACTGGACCGTGGCGGTAAAGTCCATCGAACGTTTCTTACTGCTAGAGACTGGCACAGAAAAACGAGCCAGCAGCTTCTCTTTAGGTCCAAAACTGATCAAGTCGGCAGGATCCAGCACTGGAAGGATGCAGCGAGCTGTGTCGAGGTTATCAGATGAACAAAAGCACGCTCACAGGTGTGAAAAGGTCTGTTAGGAAGGAGCTCGTTTCTCTAAGAACTTCTGAATGTCTGTTTGCAGCTCCTTGCTGCGCCTCTGGGCCTCTTCTTTGCTGCTCTCTGCATTCTTTAGGCAGATCTCCAGAGCAGCCACACGGCAGCGCTCTGCCTCCAAAGCAGCCTGCAGCTCTGCCACGGCGGCCTTCAGCTCCTTGTTCTCCTGCTGCAAACTGACAGAGGACATCGGAGAGAGACGGATTGATTAGATCAAAACAGGATGCCTCTCTGTTCTCATCACCGCTAGCGTTGGGCTGAACTCACGTGTTCACGAGCTGCTGCTGGTCCTCCTTCTGCTCTGGTCTGCTGTTGGCCAGCTGCACCGGACTGATCACCCTCAACGTCTCCACAATCTTTTGGTTGGACACAACCTGCACAGGCTGGGGGTCACTCTCGGGTTTTTGGGAACCAGTAGAAGAAGTGCAAGTGTGGTCACTTCCCCTTCGGGATGTAAATCTATCCTCCGCTGTTTTGTTGCTCATCTGAGACCCCCCAAAAAAGGTTCCCGATGTCCGCAGGTCCAGCATTTTAAAAATGTCCTCTGACAGAGTGCCACACCTCTCCTCCACGCTCTCTTGAAAGCGACTCCACCTGTTTAGGGCCTCCGCCTTGGCTGCCATCCCCGTGAGGGGACAGTTAAAGCTGGGCAGGGTTTGTGTGCGTTTGCGAGGACTTCCTAGCCAGTCGTCTGAGCCAGGAGAGAGGGGCTCCTGCAGGACTCTCTGGGGGTTGGAGTCCCCTCTAAGAGGGCCTGGGCTGTCGTCATCTTCCTCCTCTTCCGGAGACTCGGACAGAGATACGTCGCCCATCTGAGCAAAACACAGACGGTGAGTTTACACCCCGAACGCTGAACAAAAGGGAACTAAACAAGGAAAGTCAGTGTTGGTGCGTGCGTGCCGGTCTGCGTCCTGCAGCCTGTACCTCAGAAGACTCCCAGCCCACAAAGCTTCGAGGAGCATTTTTCTGGCTCTCCGTCTTGGTTGAGGGTGAGGGGGGGAGCACATCTTTGGAGACAGGAAACAGAGTCTCGTGCTGTCTGATCATCACCGTCATCAGCTTCTGGATCTGAGGAGTTGCTGTGAAGGACAAACAAACACAAATATGAAAAGATTATCATCAACATGTTTCATCTGTTTTCTTTCTTTGAAAAATCTGGGTTCTTTCTGCTCAACTTGGCCCACTTGTAGAGTTTTGATGCTCACACTACTGATCTAAACCTGCGGGTCCACCGTGTCTCTGCTCTCACCCCTCATGACGGTGATCGGATCTTCTATTTGAGGTTTGAGCAGATTGATTCCCATCACTGTTGCCAAGTTCTCCACGTTCATCTTATTCACCGTGGAGTGATTCTGCACCTCAAACAAAAACCTGGCAGCAAAAGGAAACATCAGACCTGGGAACTGATCTCAGGACAGCCGAGCTTTAAAACCAGAGCTGCTCTAAAGCTCTGTGCGCCGGCGACCACTCACCTGCAGACGTAGCTGAGGAGGTTGTAGTTGACTCTGGGGAGAAGAGCAATTTGTCTGTCCAACCTTTCCCAGCCCTGCTGGTGTGCACGTGTAAAACATGGTTTTTGTGCACAGAAACTCAACCTTCTCACTCATGTTGGTGCTCTTTGGAAGTTATACATACCTCTGTGTTGATGGAGTCCAGCAGGTTGGTGCAGTCCAGGAAGTCCTGGTACTGAGACCATGGGATGACCGGCTCAGGAAGCTCTCGCAGGTAGAGTTTGAGCAGCGACGCCACCGTGTGGACATCTGTGTCACTGAGAACACGTTTCAGTGTGAATCTCATCCTGCTTTCACCATTGCATGCTTTTAACCGGACTATAGGTCACACTCAGAGTGATCGTGCAATGATTCAGCTTGAGCCGAGTTTCTGTTCATGCTGAGATCTGAGTTTGTTTAGTCAGACGGGTTTAAGGAGCACCGTAGCGTCAACAGGCTCCTGCTTTTACTCGAGCAAGGACGAGTGCCTGCAGGACTTAGCTAATAAATGGTGTCTGGGTCCAGCTATGTACAGTTAAACCTGAATTATTTCAAGGAGTAAATGGGAACCCCTAAATACACAAATAAAAATTAAATAAATTAAGGAAATGGTTTATTTCTTCGTTGTAACAATACTTCTCATCAGTTATTGATTGGAAGTTCTGCTCGGTCACCTTTATGGGAAAGAACGTAAAAAGCACCTTCAATGTTCTTTAAAATGATGGAAAAACATCGTGTAATGTCAAAAAGTTACTTTGGTTGTACTTCCAGGTTTTCTGATAACTTGCAGGTGTTCAAACATACTAAATCAAGGGAAGTGGGCAGTCATGTGACTCATGACGCACCTCAAGGAAGCTGTGCTGGACTCTGGTTATTTTTAGTTGCTGAGGTAACGCTGATCCAACTCGTTTAATGATGGTTGGTGTTTGTGTCGCTGGCTCTAAACTGTGTGGCTGTGCACCTTCACTGTTTAACACAAGTGTGTGTTCCTGTTCACAATCTGGAGCTCCGTGCTGCTGCTTCAAATCTTGTTTTTATGAGCTGAGTCAGGAATGTTTTCCTTGAGCGACGTCACTTCCGGTTTCCAGCATGAGGCACGTTTTAGTCGGATGAGCTAGGAGAGCCTAGCTGGATCAGTAAAAGCGCCTTTTTGTCCTCAAATATCTTCATTTTTTAAATGAAAATCCAAACTTCAGACCTGTTACAATCTAAGGGCTTCAGCTTGACTCCCTTTAAGGACTGATGGATTAAACAGCACAGCACATATGTGGTACAGTCACCCCAGACTCCCCTCCAGCATGCTGCTGTTGGCCTTCACTCGTGTTGTGAGCTTCAGGTGCTGCAGGTGTGTTCCAGTCCCAGGACTGGTACCCAACTGCCCTCTCATTCCCCAGTAACAAGTGAGCAGAGTGAGGAGCGGGGGCCAGGCTGTGCTTGAGTGTGACATTCATCAGTTAGAAAAACGATTCACGAGGGTCTTCCTGACTGGTGTGGGAGGGTCCAGTCATCCGAACAGAAGTCAGTACCAACATAAGTGTGTGTGTGTGTGTGTGTGTGTGTGTGTGTGTGTGTGTGTGTGTGTGTGTGTGTATGATCCTTATACATTCTCCCTCACAGTGAAAGTCTCATACTTTCCTATGATAGTAGATCTCTTGTCAGGAACACTTTCGCCCCAAGCGTCCTGCTTTTGTGCTTCACAATAGTCTCTTGCCCAGGTTTTTCCTCCACTACCCCTGTGCTCATGAGCATTAGAGCACAGGTGTTCTGACTAACTGCTCTCTGACAGAGGAGCTTAGGATGTTGCGTAATGAAGCCATCTTCCTGAGAGTCTCTGAGAACAGAATGTGGTACCAGCCTCAGATCTGAGCTCGCTCTCTCTCTCTCTCTCTCTCTCTCTCTCTCTCTCTCTCTCTCTCTCTCTCTCTCTCTCTCTCTCTCTCTCTCTCTCTCTCTCTCTCTCTCTCTCTCTCTCTCTCTCTCTCTCTCTCTCTCTCTCTCTCTCTCTCTCTCTCTCTCTCTCTCTCTCTCTCTCTCTCTCTCTCTCTCTCGCTCTCTCTCTCGCTCTCTCTCTCAGCTCTCTCTCTGTTAAGCAGTTCGTCTGAGCCTTCTAAATTTTCCATCCACCCTTGCACATTTATGGTCATAGCCATCTTGAAACGTATGTCATTTGCATTTCTACAACTAGAATTCACGTGAAGATTGTGTAACAATGAAATCATTTTGAGAATTGTGAGGGTGTTACCTGGGAAACGAGGGCCGCTCTCCTGCATCAAAGGCGTCTCTGAACTGTTTGACAGCATTTTCCTGTCCAGGGAGGCGGAAGATGCCCTCCTCATTCAGCCCATGTTCTGTAATGAACTCCACACACTTCTGCACCAGGATCGGTACCATGTGAGGTCCAAAGCGCTGCTCATAAGTTAGGGTGTCAATGAGACTCTTCCCAAACACTGTCAGAGACACAAGACATTACTCTGAGAGATTGTTTCGACCAAGAACATTTAGAACGATTCAAACACCCAGAATCATTGCAGAAATGTTGCTGAGTTGGATATTTAACTGGTTTTGAAACGGGTTTCTGTTTAAAAGTTATAAATATTTACAATCTTAACCCAACAAGAGGAAAGTCACAGATGGCCCACAGAGAGTGGAGGGGGACAAAGTAAATCAGGGAATCTGCTACAGACTACATCCTGGAGATGATCTACCCAGAGCACACAAGGATGGAGCTCCACCCAGACCCATCTGCTGCTGCATCACCTCTGCTACCACTCAGCTCTGCTAGCATGAAACACCCCGCATCAACAAATCGGAAAACCGAGGTTGTCTTCTGGGTAAACAATTGTTTTATTTGATGACATCATGTCTCACTTGCATTCACATGTCAGACATTATAAAATATATCAGGAAATGTTTCCAACACGATCAACAGCCATAAGACAACTTCAGTCCAGTTCCCTTGTCCCGCTGTCCCTTTGCAACATTGGCAGACAGAAGCACGGATGTCCCAGAGGCTCCCCAACATAGGGACCCATCTCCACATGGAGGGAGAGGAAATGACAGCATGGACTGTTTGATGCACATTGAGAACAATTTAAGTTTCCATAACGCGCTATTTGAAAGCTTTGAGAGCAAAGGTAGGCACTCTGCTGGCAGCAGCTCATCTACATCTTAAACACAAGGAACACTCTTTAGAGGACCTCATCGTCCGCATTTTAGACAGGGAGGACATCCGCCTAAACCCTACAGCTCTAACTGGACTCCCAGGTGGTTTCAGCCACACCTGGAAGCCCAAAAAACTCACTGGAGGGGGGACGACTCACCTGATAACAGTCCTAATAACAGTGTATTGTTCTGTGTGACTTAGAAATCCTGAACCCATAATCAGGACTGAAGAATGGGAGAAGCAGCAAGAGAAGAAGTCCGTTTGTCCTTTAAGGCTCGACTCTCAGGGTGAGTACAGTGCATATAGAAAATAATCACACACACGCACGCACGCACGCACTCACACACACACACACACACACACACACACACACACACACAATCTTGTATTTTTATTTAGATTAGGACTTTACATTGACTTCCATTCATTATGGTAACTGCATTTATGCCTAACCCTTACCCTAACCAATGTATTCCTGAACTTGACTAACAAAAACTCAATTCACATCTTACGTGTAAACCTCACCCCTAAGCCTAAGACAGGGAGTATTAGAGCTTGGTTTTGGTCCTTACACGAACCATCGGTCTTCAGAAGATTAGTGAATATGTCATTTCTGGTCCTGAGTAGGATAGCTGTACAAGCACACACACACACACACACACACACACACACACACACACACACACACACACACACACACACACACACACACACACACACACACACACACACACACAGGATTTCATCCTTAAATAGAAACAAATACATTTCTTTTACCAGCTTTACTTATCCAGTGTGACCTGACATTCACCTAAAATATTACAATTACAGTTGAGAAAATCTTTTAATAAACAAACTAATTCATTCTGAGATTAATCAAGTTTTCTGTTTGGCATCAGAATCTTCAAGCTGAATTCTGGCAAAGCTCAAACCAGGTTTAATGTGGCATTTCTTGAGAATTGGCTTTTTTCTTGTGACCCTCCAGAGCATGCTCAGAATGACAACACTGCCATAAAGTCCTGTGAAAGTCCTTCAGAGTGGCCATCGACCTCTTGGTTGTCACGGCGTGTGGGTGCGGTAAGCGGAGGTGAGGATCCAATTGCAGGGGAAGAAGCAGGCAGGCAGGAACATTCAAACGAGGATTTAATGAGGATCACGCTGGACAATGAAACAATGAACCGACAAGACACACAGAACTGAGAGGGTTTAAATACATGAGGGCTGGGAGCTTGGGTGATTGGAAAACGAGAGGCAAGTGGGAGTAATCAGGAGACGCAGGGCTAAACAGAGTGGGGAGACTGGGCAGGGTGTGCCATAGGTAGCCTCTCTAATCAGTTTCCTTGTTCTTCCATCCAGTTTGGAGGGATGACCAGATCCAGGGAGAGCCCTGGTAGATCTTTTCTATCCATCTCCTTCTTTATGTTTGTCCAACACTCTGTCCCTCAGATGTAATCACAGTCAGCTGCACTCCCAAACAAGAGAAGGCTCCAGGATCAGCTGTTTTTATGCTCCACTGATCAAACAGCTGATAACAGGTGGAAGCCAGTAACCACGGTCTGTTACGGATGTGGTTAATACTTCTTCTGACTTTCAGAGTAATGGGGCTTAATTTCAGTATTTCTTGTTTTTTTTTAAATGATTCTTCTTGAACTGTAGGGTTGGGGTTATGTAGAGTTATGTAGGGTTAGGATGATATTTTTTAAATGCTGTTACAGGTTGTGCTGGATAAATTAAGCTGTTTAAAGATAGTTTGTTTCATTTAAGGCTGTAAAAAAAAGACATTTCTTGTTCGCTGTACGTCCAGAGACTGTTCCAGAAGCTACCCACAGCAGAAGAGTGTCATTCTCCTGATGACACCATCTTAGTTTAGGCTCTACCTGTGCATGTAGTGACATTGCGTCCTTTTTTTCATGGGCATTCAATGATATCTGCTCACTTTTTCACCTGCTTTATGTTTGTCAGCCATCTTTGTTAAAGCTTCTGACTGACCTCCACTAGTCGGTACTCCAATGACTCTACGCAGCACGCGGACCCAATCCTCCAGGTCGCTCTGGGAGTTTGCCATCAACACACAAGAACATCGCTCTCGGTCTCCAGTTGAACCTAAAGATCGTTCATCAGGATTTCACAAAAGATGTTAAAAAACATTTCACTTGACACCATTTCTACAATAACAGTGTAAAAAGGAACAACGTCCACATCTTTTTATTATTTCTTCCAAAGTAATCACCAACTGGTTCTGGAATAAATGGGCTTCCCTTTTAAGGGTTGATTATATGCTTACGTGGAATAATCTCAAAGAGGAACTTCCCGGTGTCGTCTGAGCTGGGCAGGAGTTCATTAACCTTACTGGAGCGTAGTTGGATGACTCCCTAGGGGATAAAAATAACAACGAATAAACATCCAAAATGTCCTCATAAGGAGAACTATCAACACTTGGTTCAATGGTCTATTCAAACTTAGAGATTAAAGGTGCAGTATGTAAGAATATAGTGAGAATTTACTGAAACATATTTCATATTCAGCTGGCTGCTGGACTGTCGGTTTTTCTCCTTTCCAAACGGCGGAAGGAGGGACGTAGCTGTTTACCATCAGTGCGTGTGGGGGTGCCGTGTCTCCTGTAAGCTAACACTGCAGCACCCACGATTGTAATTTGACGGTGGCCGGCAAAAAGCTCCAGTTGTTTAAAGTGGTTGCAGTAACCACGTTTTACCACAGGATGTCACTTTTACTTCATTTCTACATAATGCACCTTTAAGTCTTTACTGTCGAGGAGGGACAATGATTCCTCTGTAACTAAACAAGTTTAATTTTCTATAACTTGACAGCTTCCTACATTTATTTGTTATTAAAACACATTTCAGCCAAAGCCAGCTTGGAGCTGCTGGTGGTGTAATCATCTGCTGTTTAGTAGCGTCACACCAGACCCACCAGTAGCTACTAGGAGCAGATAAAGAACCATCCTGCCAGCTCACAGAGAGTTGACAATAGGTTCCTGTTTCAAGACCAAACGAATCTGAAAACATCTGATTGTGTGTGAAGATACAGAGATTTTGGCTTTGTCACCAGACTTATTCAGCCTATGAGGATGACCTTTGACCTGCCACAGCTCCTTACAGACTGAATGTTCCTATTCTGTCCTGGTTCCGTGGAGAAATATCCATTTTTGGAAGTTTAATACCCATTTGTGTCGAAAAGTAAAGCTGAATAGAATTAGCAGATGTTTAAACAACGAACACACGTAAAAAGCTTCAGAGTTGGCTACTTTCCACTTAAATACTTGTTTGTGGTCGGTCCTGCTGACCAAATACAACAGCTGGAGTTTCTCTTTCCCAATCAGAGGAAATACCAGAATCCTGCCTTTTGGCCTCAGTGTGGAACCAAGGTTCAGCTTTAAAATAGCAGAAATGTTGTTAGTTGGCTCGAATGATATCTGCCTCACACAGATCTAAAGCAGGATACCAAACGTTGGGTCCCTTTGGCTGATAAAGCCTCTTTCTTGCTCTCTAACATCTGATGAGTTTGTGCACAGGAAGTTTGCAAAGCTAGCCACAGAGTTAGTGGAATGTTTGTGGTGTTGATTGGAAAAGATAAATGATAAATGTCCTATAAAGTTGTGCGAATGTGCAGAACTCAGCACAGGAACACAAAATGTTTAAGGTTGGCTTATTAAACTGGTATGAAACTAACATTTTTGATTGAACATTCATAAAAACATGAATTTATAAGAGAGACATGGACCTATTTTGATTATTTTAAGGTGGAATGTCGAAGACCATGCACAGACCTGCAAGGTGTTCTCCTTGTCGTCTTTGTGGTAGGTCAGAGTGCTTCCTCTCAGCACAAAGTAGCGCTGCTGCCAGTTCTTCACTAAAGACCTCTGCTGCTTCTTCAGCCAGCCGGCCTTTAGTGGCCTCTCCATGGACGTGGGGGAGCTCGGGGAGCCAGGTCCAGGACCCCCTTCTCCAGGAATCACACTCTTGGACCGGGCTGCCATTCACAGGAGAGCAGTTAGTAAAGCTGTCAGCTTCTGGATGTCACACAATCCATCAGCTCAATCTGTGAACTGTAACCAAAACATCTGAGGCAGTCAGACAGCTTCCTCTTTTACATGAATATGCATCAGGCTGTCACAGCT